CTTTACGAAATAGTGAAGTGGCCCTTTTGGGATCTGGGAAATACCTCAAGAAGAATTCCTAGCATTTGGTTGACTTTCAGGCTGGTGCTAGACGTAGGTAAAGCAGGCGAATTTTCAGACGTAGCCAATCCTGGGATGCGCCACCCAGTAACGTCGTAACGTGCTAACATAGTGCTCTGTTTCATACAGTACGCCTGTAACGTTTGACGCATCTGAAGCATGCGGAGTTGCACTTAATTGTAGGTATCCCTTTGACTGATGGGCCTTGCAGGACACCAATCTTATAGGGGTGATGGGTTGGGCAGGATTCATCGACTTCCACTTAGAAATGTTGGCTTTTCAGAAAGAGCCATGCTAGGGGAACGCGGTTCCTAGGACACTGATAACAACTGTCCCCGAGAGGCTGAGATGGTAAATATATGTATATATATACACACATATATGTGATTCTGTTACCGGATGCAGCTGTCGCTGGCTGAGTGCCATAACAGGTCAGGTCAAATAGGGCAGCAGTCTATGAAGCCAGGTTATCATGTGGCAGTGATTTGCCTGTTTGCAGAGAAATCCAACGGACCGTAGTGCGTTGGGGCATCTCGCATCTTAAAAAAGCATCCTTTGCACATCTCAAAAGCACTCTGTTAACGTAGCTTGAAGTGTTTTGATATCTTGTCCGACGGCAGTATTGCACTGCATTCTATCTTCCTTTTTCTCTCACCAATTTGCAGGTGGTTTGGAGGCTTTTAGTACACGCTAGACTTTTCGTTCGAGTTCAACCTACATCATTGAGCGTGCTCTGACTACGTATACGATGTAGATGTCTTCGAGTTAAGCTTAGATAAGACCATCCCACTTCCCGTAGTATAATTCACGATGTTCATTTTTACAACTGATTTCCAGCGTATATTATTTAGGGAGTTCGGGGGTAGTCGTATACTGACTTTTTTGAGGTGGCAACGCCTTTTCCTGGTATCGCTTCTGGGGTTAATGATATTAAAAGATTAGATGAATGTACTGAGTGGTCGCTTACCACATAGGGGCATTAATGGCAAAATAATTTATCTCGAGTCTTTTCTTGGTAGATCTTCAACCGAGGTTTGTAGGTCTTTAGTTGCCTGTCCCAGTGGCGTCGGTTCTTCTGCTTTCGTATTAGCCATTTAATTATAAAACTCAAAAACCTGTTGGAAGTGCAGTCCAGCGGTGTTCCCGGGGTTCCGTCATGAAGGTCATCGGTAGCAAGATAGAAAAAGTACACCGTAAAGACACTTTTATACCGGACTTGCCAAGTGAAACTGTCACCGCCCTCCCACGGCTGGGGTGGCAGCTCTTGCCAAGCACCGGCCGGCAGGATCTAGTGTAAGAGGGCCAAACTAATTGCTGAAGTTCGCCGACTTCTCTTGCTTCGTGCTCTGTGCAGCCATCTTTTGTTTTGTCTCCATTAATTTTTTTGTTCAAGCTCTCATCATTTATTTCTACTTCTGTATCGTCTACGTAGGGGGGCGACCACGTTTCACCCATCGATTCTGCCTTCTTCACTCCACACAAGTGCCTTAGTTCTTGCATCTTAAATAAATGAATGGATAAATATTTTACTCCCACATCACGAATTTAACATGTGAGGGGTCAGTTTACGTGCGTCATCGCACTGACACGTGTTGAAAAATCTGCAAGATTTTAATGGTCCTGAATGGCATAGAAGGGGGGTTATTAAACCCTGTTAAAAGCATCAAGATATTCCGCCAGTTATGAAATGAACGAGGAACCGTCACTTTTGCATATACAGCGTGTCAAAGCTTACGCTGTTTTCAGTCATATTTTTTACGCCGTAGGTGGTACCAAGGTCGCGCGAAATTCCAAAACTCCGTTACAAGCAGCCGATATGCTTGACTCGTCTTCACAGTGCCATGTTGCGCCAGATAAACTTCTGCTTGCCTAGTATGCTTTGAAGGGTAAGGGTGGAGTGTCTACTCAATGATGAGATTCTGTTGACCATTTTCTTTCAAGGTGGTTGGTGTGGAGTTGCAACTGTCTGCTTTTTCCACTTTCAGGGGGTCTGTAGTTTTGTGCTTTTGGAGTGGCTGCTAGATTGTCTACCGTCGTCAGTGTTGGAGGGGTGAAAGGCATTTTAGGAATGTGTAACAGGTCAAGATGTCGTTTGTAAGAAATAGAAAATTTTGTACAGCACTAAAGAAGTACCGTACATCTTCCATGAAGATAGTCATTCGAACAGTGCTTCACCTTCTCTTCTCCGTCCATCTCGATTTGCCCCTCATGCACCCACACTGTCAGTCGCTTTTCTCTGGGCAGAATATTTGTCTATCGCTGGTATTGCCCATGACTTCTGCCAGGCTCTCGGTATATACTATCTGAGTCCATTCTTATCTGCATTACCGAGCACACACTTGTCACGTTCTCCATTAAATCTAATGAGATACAAGACAATGACAAATAGCAATTTCCTTCTACCCGTTCAATAGGCCTCTCGGATGACTGCTACTTCTTTTAGGGGAAGGCACTTTGTTGGAGACAACCGGTTTCCAAGACCTATCGGGTACCCATATTTGATGAAGGCTACGACTGCAGTAGCTACATTCATATACAAATATTGTCACCATCATTATCGCAGAATTTCATTCTCATACTTTGCTCTCTGGATTTGGGGCTACATACACTGTAGCGATAAGAACCTCCTTGCAGTGCGTGGACTATCATTTCTGAATTGTTACCCGTGCTGTTTTTCTACAAGCGGTTCCCGAGACAGTATTATTGGTCCGTCCTTATAGGATCCTTTGGCATCATAATCGTGTTTTTAGCTATGGTAGTGTCCACCAGTATGGCTTAACAGCCCAGGTTTTCTTGCTGCAAGGGTAGCAGGTCTTTTTGCCTTGTTTAAAAAGCAGTAGACCGTCACTTCAGCAGGTGAAACTTGCCATTGGAGCCTGTAAAAATTCGTCGCTAGGGTGTTGCGTTTCTTCATCATCCTTGGGTGGGTCTTGAATGGTAAGAACATCGCCCTGGAATTCGCACTGACATTCCCGTAGTTTTGTGTCACTCCGCTTCCTCTCACAACTCCGGGAACTGCCCGGGTTTTTTTTGAAAATGCTGCGGTTCGCTGGCAATCATTATCCCTTGGTCGTGGTGGTGTACGACGACCCACTGCAGCTCCACGAAAGATTATCAGGGTTTCCTTTGGATGTTATGTTACCATTCACTGTACCAGTTCGCGGCAAATGCTTACTTTTGTCACCATCTGCGAAGGTATCTATGGATATCTCGTCCTTGTTAGGTTCGCAGCATTTGTTATTTACTGGTATGGAATGCTTACTCGGATTGCCTTTTCCCACTTTACGCAACCATTGAAGCAGATTCTGAACTACCATCACTCTGTCACCTGGGTTCCCTAGGACAATAAGACCCACGTACGAGACACGCCGCGAAGAACCTTCTCATGGTCTCTGAGAAGTTTGGTAATCCGTATTTTATATCCGTGCTATCTGCATTGTTCTGTTTGTTGCAGATGGGGTGTAAAAATTAAGTTCGTCGCTTTCTTGCATGCAAACTGCAGAAAACACAGTGCGGCTGAATGAAAAGCTCCGCCATTCGGGATGAAGACTTGTATTTTATTACCGACGTCTGTGTAATCATAGTTGGCTCTGAATGTAACAGATTATTAGCAGTAGTAAAAAAGGTAAATCTCTAGTTGACAAACATTATCGTAGACACCTTCATCCATTACTTATTCAAGTTTATATTTACCACTAATCCAAGAAGACAAAGACAGGAGTCTGAAGTTGAACAAAGAAACCCGGATATGAAGTATAACTCCTACTCTGCAGGAGTTGGTGGTTCTTGGTAGTTCCCCTACATAGAAGTCGTTCAGACTCATGCATCATAGTTTCTTCTGAAGGCCTGATCGGAAAATCTTGGTTAGCATGCAAGAAGGAACCAGCTCAGGGTTTACGTCACTATCCTACTCATACTGTTGGTACTGGAGAGCTGAAAAGGTGAAGGCATATAGCCAAGATGCTGGATAATTTCAAGGCACCCCAAAATTATCTCAGTGTGATATTATCCCTCACAGGGTCGAATTCAGTACCTCGCGACTTCTTTCCTTGACAGCATCATGGTAGGCCACTGTAGGCTCGTTGATGTCCACTTAGACTCTTCCGTTACCAAACAATTGAAAATAAAGGCCAGAAAGTTATATATGTTTTGTTCTTTCCCTCGACTTTGTATCCTCAAAATCCAAGGAACAACAATTTGCACTTCATACAGTATAGAGTTTAAGGTTTATGACGAGGGCACCACTGCTCCCTCCTCTGGCAGCTTCAAGAAGAGGCTGGGCAGTTACTCAGCGACCCATGGCTTACCTTCATTTTAGCTGGAATATGGACTAGGTTGACGCAACCTACGGACTCCGCACAACTCAGCAAAACCAATCCACTGCCAAATCTCTTGCAACACCACCATCATTGAGAACCTGATCCAAACTAATATTTTCCTGTGGAAACTTCAATGTGGGATATTTCTAGTGAACAGACTAAAATGGAATTGCAACCGACCACAGTGTCCAAGTTTTACTCTTATATTAACCTCCAGTTAACATCTCACACTAGTAGTATCAATACCTCCATTCTCATAACCGTCCTGTAATCTTACCTGCTCCTTTTCTTCCCCCTGACCCAATATTCACACACCATTTATTGAAAGTCTCCATACTGATCATCTTCGATGAACCCACCTGGGTTTCTCCTTCCCTTCTGTGCATCTATCTTTCACCTTATCGTTCTTGTTCCTTTTTCTTAGCAGTTCCTCACCCTTGGCTTTTCTGAAAAACTTTTCTATCTTCCTCCCACAGCCAGTCTGACAGCTATCTGGTGGCACAACACTTGAGGAACCTATCTGCACCACAGTCGTTGAAAAAAGCATGCGATCCCTACAAATTTAATCAACACCCAGGGGCTCGTCGGGCTAATCAGAGCCACAGCAGACGAGCGTGTAAACTTACTGCATCGGAATCCATCAAAGGCCTGGAACCGTTCCTCAAGACCTAGAAGCGGATGAAAAGAAGTCAATTGGTTTACACAAGCTCGTAAAAAGATATTGGATGCTGGCCCTTTGAAGGTCACACCAGGCGGCACAAATATGACTCAGGCAACGGAAGACTTATGTCGTAAGTTTCAAAGCCTTGACCATGAATGGAACAAGAAAAATCATGACGTTGCCGACTGTCTAAAACGAGTGGAGGAAATAACGGTATGTTTGGGGGCCGAATTTTACAATATCAGTCTACGCTAACTAGATGTGCTTTTCTCCCGAAAAATGAATCCGAAGCTTCGCGCCGCGAACTTCTTATTGCTAGTAAGTTGGGTCATCTTAATAACCCGATACTTTAAGGAAGCACACTCGAGATAGCGACTATGTTAGCTTCAGAGAAGCAAGATATTCCCGCCTTTGAACATTATATGTCTCAGCTCAAGTGCTACTACTATGATTACAAGTAAGTGATATCTTATTTTTATCACGTAGTTCACAGGAGCAACCTTCCAGATTCAGCTTACAAGTATGAACTGCTGGGGTTGAATTTGCTTTGTCTGTTAGCGCAGGGCAGGCTGGGTGATTTTCATACCGTAAGAGCTGGACTAATTTTACTTATCCAAGGCAGGAATTAGAGCGGCTCACTATTGAAGAAATAACTTCCAGCGTGTATATAAACCATCCAGTTTCTATGGAGCAATATCTAATGGAAGGCAGCTTTCACAAAGTGTTTTTGTCTAAAGGTAATGTACCATCAAAGAGATATGATTTCTTCATTGATATACTGTTGAATACAACCAGGTTAGGAGTTCATACTGACACATACTTTTACTAGAGATGAAGTTGCATCTTGTTTAGAAGCCGCTTATGAATGTTTATCCTTAAAAGATGCTGCCCCTATGTTATTTTTTGACTCGGAAGAAGGAACAAGGGTTTTCGGACAGAAGGTAAGCAGTCTTATTTGCCTAAGTATCTGTTTAGAGAGGATGGGATCTTCAAAACGGGTTGTTTCGCTTTCCTAAACTGGAAAAGGAAGCGGATGATAGTATTCCATCAGCTGACGTAACTAAAGTTATGCTTGAGTACACAAGAGAGCTAGATCAAATAATTTGAAGCCAGAGTCTACATTGTACATCTTGTTGGTTTTCTTCGATTTTGTAACACTAATAAAGCATAGTGTATTTTCATGGCTACAAGTTTTTTTCAGACATGGCCTAAACCCTATGAGGTAAAGCTGATGTACTTCATCAAGGAAAGAAATGAGCTGTTATTATCTTGTTTGTCATCTGTCCTCGTAGTGAACAATCTATCTCCGTAACAACATGAGTTACCGAAGCTCGTGAATAAGCCCATTAAGTCACCGCACATTTGTGTTGTAGAGTTAGGCCATTGAGGGCCTTTAACGAGAATAAGGCAATTGTAATTGTCTTGCTCAACTGTTGCCCACCAATATCATTCGTCCTTACCATAGATTTCTTCGTCTTATGCTTTCAAGTTTATATCTGACTTGCAGTCAAGCGTTGAGCTGTTTCACTAGCCATTCCATTAGCTTCTGCTTGACAAAGTTAGCATTGAAAAATTTCAAAACAAATGGTTACTGATGTCTCTTATTCACACTCTGATCATGAGGTGGCATTGGGCTCCCTTAATTAGGGTTTAGCTTTTGGCAGTGATTAAAAAGGACTTAGGGGAGTACATTTCAGTTTTGTAACCTGGAGTTTAATGCTGCTAGACGTCCTATGAGAGATAGTTTACGTCGATTATACTGACTGTTTATTAGCTGCTCATTGTTACTATGTTTGTTGCTATCCGTCGAATGAACTGTTAAAGAAGCAGTGCTTAGTTGAACTTCTCACTCTAAATGTGTGTATTGCCATTTGGCCAGTTTGCGGTGGGCGTTCACATTCATTGCGAAAGATGCCTTACACGCCTGTTTGGCTGTAATAGTCGTGGTGAAACTAATAGAAAACGATATCTCGTTGCAAATACAGAGTTATTCGATTGCTATTTACTTCTCCAATCTATTTTCGGTACTTGCGTGCTATTCTCTTAATTATATGGAGTCGATTACAGTGCAACTCTTCGCAGAACCAACTAAATATTTCACTAAATATCAAAAGCTGAGTGTATTGCTCACCAATCTTCTCTGTCTTGTTGTACCGCTATGAGACAACTTTCGAAAGTAAAAATAAAGAGATTATAGGTGTTTGCCAATAGATATCTTCTTTGGACTTTTGGCCTGTGATGGAACCATATCGCCAGCGCTTTTGGGGTGAGACTCGTTTTACAAGTTAGGTCGTCGGGTTTGTCAACCATCACCGACTCAAGTGGCCTGTGCATACTTAGCACACGTTCAATCATTGCCTACCTTGAAACGCGATACAAGCCGAAGTAGGATTGGATTGGGAGAAAGCCAAGGGCAGGCTGACCAATATGTGACATCACTTACTTGAAGCCTCTTACCGTTGGTTTAATCCGCGTTGTGGGGTATAGGCTGCCTGGCTCGTATCATTGAGACTATTAGAATAAATGGCTGGGAGCTCTTAATGATATTGGTCACAGTGGCTCAGTTGTATGTTGTTTATCAACTTCGAGGCTTTGTACACTAACACCAATCTTCATGTATTTATTATCTCACCCACTTTTGTGTCGTTCTTTTTCTATCTGGTTGTTTTTTTTACTGTTATGAAGTGTGGTAACTTGAAGGGATAGACTCCTGTGCCAGGTTCCACGGTGATATATCTATCCGAGAGAGAAAACTGTTGTGTGGCTGACGGTTTTTCTCAGTGGCCTACATATCGTAAGTTATGATGAAAGATACATGCGAACAGATACCGGGCAGAGATAACGGCTAATATATAACCTGAATATGTTCGACAAACCAAATTGAGTTTTTAAGGGTTAGGTAAAATATTAAATCTAACGACAGTCTTCGGGATTAACAGTAATTTACTGTGTGTGTTGAAACAGCCAGTAATCAACTAAGATGCGAAGGGAAAATAGTACTATGAATTAAGGATACATGGAAGCGAGATTCTAGGGTAAATAGGTCTTTGATGACAACACTTGAAGCAAACCATAATTTTTGTTTATAATTCACCGGCCGCCTAATAACTTTCACCAGCTATTTATTACTCTAGGTAATATCTAGTATTATTTTGAGATGTTATTATGAGTTTGCCAGTTTTAGGTCAAGATGCCTCCTGGATTTGGGAAAAGTTCAGTCAATAAGTTTTCTCTTCAGCAGTTATCATCTTACGTTTTGGTGGTCATCAAAATCGTCGTACTAAACAGGTAGATGTAATCAAATTAGTTGCACTTAACATTGCAGCTAAATATCAATCTGAACTAGATTTAAGGCTAGCTACCGATCTTCCAACAAGTGTAGACGAGCATTAGTTGCACTTGCAAGACGCCATGAAAATAGCGAATGAAGCTACTCAGGACTTAGAAGAACGTCCAGCTAATAAACACTGGGTCTCTGCGAGCTCCCTCCAACATCTTGACGCCCGTCATAGCATTCCGACTGATAGCGAGCACAGTGATTTGCATAAGTATCTTAAGTGAAAGAATACACAGCGCTTACGCAAGGACCGTGAGGTAGATGGTCAGAACGCTTGAGTGAGATGGAAACAGCAGTTTTATCTGGCAATAGTCGGAAGCTGTTCCAAGTCATGCGAGCCACAGGCAGCAAGAAGTCTGATGTTAGAAAGACGATCTGTGAGATTGATAGCACGCCGATGAACGATCTTCAAAGACGCCTCGGACGCTGGACGGAGCGCTTTGGAAAGCGGTTTAGCTGACATACTGGTCAGGCATCCTCAGTTCCAGTGTGCCGGGCTACACGGTTTGTTAACACTTACCTAAAGAAGCTGAGATCTTTAAAGAACTCCAAGTCCCGAAGTGCCACTAGACATCAAGTCCAGACAACTTCCCCCAGCCTTTTTTAAGGGTAGAGAAACGTCTGTAGTCAAGGAACTGACTAGATTGTTTGAGAAGGTATGGGAGACTGAGAGTACTCCATCACCATTGTTGTGCCCATCTTTAAAAAGGATCTTCGTAATGCATGTGGCAATCATCGGGGTATTGGTCTGCTACCAGTAGCGTCGAAAATATTGGCTGCTATCAGATTTCGTAAAACATGTTCTAAGATGATTCGCAGGGAGTAGACCGGGTTCCGTTCCGGTCGTGAGTGTACTGATCATGCGTTTACCCTCCGCCAGACATTTGAACATCGCCGCACGTATTGCAAGCTAACAATCGTTGTGTTTCTTGGCATTAGGACTACCTTCGATTCGTTGGATACAGCTGTACTCTGGAGTTGTCTGTTGGAGAGGGGCGTCCCTGAGAAATTTATTAATATCTTGAAAGCTCTATATAATAACATCTCAGGTAGAGCGAGGGAATACAACTCTCTGTCTCCATTGTTTCAAACCAGCAACGGGGTTAGGCAGGGTTACCGATTTCTCCATTCCTCTTTACTTTTGCCATCGATGACATTCTTCAGATAGCTCTGAAGGAAGTGTGTGATGGTGGTGTAGATTAACTACCCTGAGAACGGCTATTCGACCTTGAATATGCGGATGATGTCGTCTTACTGTATAATAACACAGGCTGCTCAACCCACACTTAATCACTTGACGATTAGTGTCTAAGTGTGGTTTGTGCTTTGCACCACTGAAGTGCAAATTATGTTTGCAAGATTGGCAGGAGCCTTTGCCTGCGCTCAGCCTCGGTGGTGAGCCGTTGAAAATATTCGGAAAGCTTGTGTATCTGGGTAGTTATGTGAATGCTGGTGGAGGTGCTAGTGGTGAAGTTTTCAACCGCGTATCGAAAGCCAAAGTGGCATACGTCAGTCTGGGCCCCCTTTGGCGCCGTCGCAGCTTTAGTCTGACCGCAAAAGGTCGGGTTTACAACGCTTCGGCGTGACCAGTCCTGCTATATTCCTGTAGAACCTGACCTCCCCGAGCGACGACTCTGTGTGTTCGATCATCGTTGTCTCCATAGGATTGTTCGTATCCGATGGCAACACCGTGAACCTAGTAGCTCAGTTGGTGGAGCGTCGGCTGAAAACCCGGTGGTCGCTGGTTCGAATCCGGCCACTGTCGAAACCTTCATTTCACCTTCAATCACCACCCAGTATAAACACCATGTACGTAATTCTGAGGTACGACAGCGTGTGTTTGAGCATAATGGAGATCGTCATCTAATAAATGAAGTTATCTGGAAACACCGGATTTGGTGGCTCAGACATGTGTTACGCATGTCGTCCCAACGGCTTCCTCACTCTTCATTGTTTGATAATCCTAGGACTGGATAGAAGAAGCGGAGAAGTGGTCAGTGTATGACGTAACGCCGTGGGATGAGGGATAGTTGCATTGGGTTAGCATCCGTTAGTGCATCACAACTCCTTGGGTGGTTTCCAAGTGATCACGCAACTCTGGCTTGAGACGTTACCAGATGCGGCTCAGAATCGGAACCAGTGAAGGTCATGCTGTAGCTTCCTCCTGTCATCTGCTACTGAAAAGTAATGTGTTTTGTTTTGAATGGATCTTACTGGACTGCTCTTCTAATCATGCTATCCTCATTATTTTTATTTATTTATCCACTTCCCATGGTTTATTATACTATTTCGTGTATTCAGAGTTTTTCTACACAACTCTTCAGAAAAGTGATTCTTCTATTCGATACGACTACTTTGACAGAGGATTCGAGATATCCATTCAGTTCTTTTCTTGTCATGAAGTCTTTTCCAATTTTCAGTGTTGGAAAAGTCCCACTAAGTCTGAAAGAAGACAATTTATCTCAGTGATGGTTTCTTTTTCTGTCAGTCATTCAATTCAAGTGTAGAATCATATTTGTAATCACTGGGAACAACTAAGTCTTTGATGAAGTAATAGATTGAGATAACATCTATTGTTATTATTATTATTTGTGCCTTGGGTTCCTAATAGAACATAGGACCTCAGTAGCACGTCTTCAGTGCGCTCTGTTCTTCGAAATCTTTTGAACCTGGTTCCATGACAGCCCAGAAGCTCTCATTTCTTTCTCGCATGATCTCCTCCGTGTCACCCTCGACTCAGATGCCCAACTCGTCGCTTCCCATTGGGTTGCACTCGAGGGCCTGGCACGTGATATCCCCAATCGACCTTCTCAGTGTATGCTCAATCCATCTCCACTTCCTTCTGCATACTTGTTGAGCGATAGGTTCTTGGTTGATTCGTTGCCAGCCACAGTTACTTGTTGCTTATTCTCATTATTCTGGCCATCTTAGCTTCAGTGTCAGTAACGAGCCAGTGTAGGCAGTTGTTGATGAATATCTGTAGTTTGTTCGAAATGCCTATCGTAACGCGCCAAGTCTCTGAGCCACACAGAAGCACTGATTTGACGTTGGTGTTGAAAATCCGGATGTTGTTCACGCTTTATGCTGAGTGCAGTGCGACAGATCTCCACACTGGTTTCAGGCTAATGAACGCCTGTCTTGCTGTGTTTCCGATTCTGACTTTGACATCCTCGTCTGTGCCACCTGTAGTTGTAACGATGCTGCCCTGTCTATATAGGTGAAACAGGCTACTTCCTTTAAGTTTCTCTCGTTCATGGTGACTGGAGTTTGTTGTTGTTGTTGGTGGTGGTGGTGTTGGCGTTGGCTGGGTATCTTCATCACCTCCACCTTCTCTATATTCACTTGAAGTTCCGTCTTCCTTCGCTGACCTGCCTCTTCTGTCAACTTGTTAGTTTTTGCCTGTAGATCTTCGAGTTTGTGCCACACTAGACACAGGTCATCGGCGAAATCCATGTCTTCTAGGTTCATTTCCGCGGTATGCCCCTCTTCTCACTCCTCACTGTTTGTCGCATGATCCAGTCTAGTCGACCACAATCAGGAATATCATGGGTGATAGTAGACAGCCTTGTTTTACTCCTGTCTTCACTTCAAAGGCATCACTGAGCTTCACATTGTGAATAACTTGTCATGTGGCGTCTTCATATAGTTGTTCAATGAACATTTTTGCTATAACATAAAGGCTGCACTTTTCTTGTACCATCATCATCTTACGTGATCTTTCCCCTATACACATATGTTTGTGTTCTATCCTCTAGTATTGTGTTATTAATGCACTCTTAACCTTCTTACTCAGTAGTGGGGTGTTACTTGGTTATTACAATTGTACGGTTTTAGTGGGTAATATCATCGAAAAGAAAAAGTTTTCATTGTCGAATTCTCTTCTATATTGCTCAGTGAGACTTTTCTCTTGTATCATCTTTCCAGCAGGTACCATTAGTTATATCTTAGTTTTTTTGTCACTTTATACATTGAGTCGCCTTTTAGCGACGTATCATGATAAGCATTTTTAGGCAGGACTTCAAATACATTGGCAACGACAGCATCTGCTTAAGAGCGTTTCTATAGCATATAAGATTTTGTATTGCAAAAGTAGTAAGGTGACGACTTCACTACACTACAATAATCTACGTTGTAAAATACTACTGAACGGAATGATTAGTTAGACGTCAACCACACTGACTTATAGATTCCGCTAGCCAGATCAGAGTGATCTAATTATCGGAGATACGGTGGGCTCGTTTGGGGCCGAGCTTACCAGTTGTGTAGTGGGACGAGTTCAACCCATTGGGCAGAATTCTTCAGACTAATTGAATCTGACTAGCTGACTTGGATGGACTGGTATACCTTGAATAAGATGATCACTTTGCTAATGGTTTATAAATTGCAAGGTCCACGTTGATATTCCCCACAGCTTCTCAACTATCCAACTGTGGTATCAGCAGGATTCCATCTAGAAAATATCTCTTCATCATCATCAAGATCAACATAGAACCAGATATTACTACGTAACAGTCCACGTTGCCACACTTCATACCAGCACATCAAGTAATAAGGTAATAAAATGGAAGACGAAGAAAGAAAATCGGTCAAACGACGTAGAAAGTAGTAAACGTGAAGGGAAAATTAGACGATAATGTAATTAAGTATAGTGGTTAATGTGAGGATAGTGTATGTATGCATCTGCGCCACTGACATCGGTTCTGAGCTATATCACCTAGAGTCTCCAACCACTGGTTTCTCTTGTCCCGCAGACCCTAACTACCTAGTTTGCATCGCGCTACATGGCTCAAACCAACAGTCAAGGACTTCATGCATTAATTTCACGTCTTAGAACGGCCGCCTCAAGCGTTTTTCCAGTCTGAATATACTTCGACCAGCATTGTGCTGCGATGCAGCCGGTGGCTAGGTATACGTAACACGTCCGAACCATCTGAGTCGATGGAGGTTCACTACAGCATCAACTGTCTTGCCACTCCTCCCTAAAACTCTACCCCTGATTTCTGCGTTACTCACATGGTGATACCACGAAACACGGCCTGTGCTACGAAGGCAGTGGTGGTCAACCACCTGAAGCCTTCTCATGTCTTCTACTTTTAATGGTCATGTTTCTCAACCATACAGTAAGTAGAACAGCGGGTTACACCGCAGTACACTCGACCCTTAATAAACAAGCGGATATCGCAGCAGCGCAACAGATGGCGTAAGTTGGTAAAAGTCGACCGAACATTTTGTATTCGTGCAGAGCTTTCGTCGGCCACTGACCCACCAGGGCTGCTCCGACTCCCCGGGTAAGTGAAGTGTTTAGTGTGCTCAACCACTTCACTCTCTACTGTTAGTCGAGGCACCATCGAAGACCAGTCGTTTGGCAACGATTTGCACTTAGCTGGTGAGAAACACATCTGAAATATTCTCAAATCGCAACCCAAGGTGTCCAGAAGACTCTGGATCTTGTCAGCGTCTTCACCCAACAAGACCATGTCATCTGCATATTCTAGGTCTACCAGAAATTCTTCTGTGATTAGATTAACCCCTATGTAGTTGAATGTCGAGAAGGAGACCTCCATAAGAACATCTATGATAAAACTGAATAGAAATAGAGAGAGTATCTCTTAACAAAGCTTATAAGGTATCATGTTCATTAAAAAAGTGTCATGAACTAACGAAATAGGCTACTGAACAGCATGAGTGGGTTTTACACCACTGATGCTGATCTACACAATTCAGTAGCTAGTTCACAGTAATCGGAACACTAGATGCCATTGTTAGACGCTACAGTTCTGTTTTATGGACACAAAGACTAGACTACATCCTTTCCTTCAAACAATTTATTTGTATACGGTAATGTTATAAATATTGTTACAGGCCATTGAAAGGAAATCTTGTAGAAATACCTTTTCCTCTCTGATTTTATTTCTAAGTATCCTAACATGCTAATATAACGATTTCTATATAACGTGCCTCAGTACTAAAAGTTACGGAAACGAAAACGAAATTTTCCCAACCCATATATTCATGATTAAAGTATTCTCCTTGAATGAACAAAATTTCCAAAGGAAAAGCAACACTAGTAATATTGAGCAATCACTGAAAATGTCTCCAAATTTTTGCCTTGTTCATCTTTGATAAAGATATATATTTGTTCCGAATCGATTGTTCGTTGTGGAATGAAACGTAGTCCAATTTGAATTGTTCCTGCAGCTGGAATTTCTATTATAGACTCCTTTTTCAAGGGAAGATAGAAAAATGCGTATTATTTTTAATACTACTGGTTATGTAATATAAGTAGAGTTAAAATGAATGGTATTAGTATATTAACTATGTGATGTATCAATGATGGTGGTTTGGTATTCTCCAAGCTTTGATATTTTGTCGTGAACTTTTCATCACCAGGCTTAAAGATATCTTCGGAACTAACTTCATAAAGAAGTATCAGCGAAACAAACCGCTTTAAATTTGACAATGTCCAGTAAGCTACATGCCTGATGTTTATAAGAGTTGTGGGCACATTTTAGACTCAAATAGGATACAATAAGTATGAGAGTTTTGTAAGAGGTGTATAAGTATTCCCACCATAAGAAACAATGTTGGGGTTTTTATTTGCTTCCACTTATCACTGGTACTTGTTTGTTATTATCCAAACGGTTGAGCATCTTGCATGGACTGATGGTTAAAATATATTCACTAATGGCCAAGTTTATACATTATTATTATATGATTAATTGTCCCTTAGGTTCCTAGTGGAGCATAGGGCTTCACTATCACATCTGCACTACACTTTGTTCTCTGCAATCTTTTGAATCTCGCTCCACAACTGCCCACAAGCTCTCATTTCTTCTTCGCACGATCTCCTCCATGTCACCCTCGACTCCGACGCCCAACTCGTCGTTTCCCATCTGGGTTCCACTCAAGTGCCTGGCGCGTCATGTCCCGAGTCAGCCTTCTCAGTGCATGCCCAATCCATCTCCACTTCCTTCTGCATATTTGTTGAGCGATAGGTTCTTGCTTGGTCCATTTTAATAACATTTACTGTGGATGATAAAGAACTGGGTACACTTTCAGTTAGCTTCATAGGCGGACAGACAGATGGATCAATGTAGGACTGCACAAAATGTACCTACACAACTTGTTACACTAAAACTGACATATCTACAATAATGGAAAGCCATTTGGGGAAGTGTGCGGGCGGTCGACATTTCCTGGTTGCCCACATCGTGAAAGGCTATTTCTTATTAAGGTTTATGAAAGAGATTTATGTGACCACAGACTCCATGAGACACCTGCTTGAGGCTTGTCACATACAACCTTTTGAAGGTAGTTGGTATGGCATTTGACTGTTCTTATGTCGGATAGAGAAAACCCATATCGCCAGCATCGAAAGACCGTGGGGCAGATCTTTTATTTTAACTCCTTTTAGCCAGGAAGGCATGGTCAGCGTGACACTGCTGATCATCCAGGTGAAACATCTTACTGCTGCCACATCCCACCCAGCCAACAGTATGACTTTGTCCTCAAACTCTTACCATAAGGCGGAAATTTACACTACAACAGTTACTGCTTTTTGGCCAACCACTATCTAACAGACCTTTTTAGTATGGTAGGATCTCGAGCGGACAAGTATACCAACCGGTGTACCTTTCTATATCTATCTTGAGTATTTTTCCCACCAATTAGCCTATTAGGGTTGGTGCAGCTATAGGGCGTACTACTTATAAGACCACAAATAACTAGTATGTGTTGTGATTTTACTGTTGTGAGCGATTAGAGTTATCATTCAATCAGTAGAGGTTTTGGAGAGAGAAATTAAAAAAGATGGTTTATAAATACAGACAAACGAAGAAGAAACTGAAGAACTGAAGAATCTCTAACGCAGATACTGTTTGAATAAACCGCGTAGATTTTTAAAATTTTACCAATACTGGGTGTGACTTCCTATCAAACAATTCTATCGCCCATCACTAATATTGTTATCTGCACAAGTTACCAGAAGAGTTATACTAGTCAGTCCGTAAAATCTAGGATTCGGTGCATACCAGTGGACAGATGTCACTCTACATTAGACAAATGTCAAACTGATCCCAAATACTCAGTTTTTTGCGTATTTCAGTTCCATGAAACTGCACTTTGTTGGATTGTTGGACGTACAGAAATGTCACCTTTGTGCTTTAAGTAATTTAGGCCCCATCTTGATAACAGATCAATATGTGAGAAGTTGGAGGTATGTAAGGTCAATTATTCCATCAACCTATCAATAAAAAATGGTGAAAATGAGCATCACCGGTCCCCTTAACCTTGGGAAAGCAACTTTTTCTAAGTTTTTCTCAATAAATACTTGTAATTTATTTTTAACCAACTTTTCATAAGTAGTTGGATACCTAATGAGTATCAGAGCTTCTCAACACTTAACTAAATGAAGTTTCCGTGTTTTATCAACCGCTAGGTCATTATTGTGTTCAATAAGCCAACTGTTGACAAAAATGTATATCTCAAGGTGGTATTCATCACGGATTGACGCCAGTTAGAGAACCACTGTAAACCTGGGCGGCTGTTTCGTCCTAGTATGGGACTTCTCTGCAGTGGAACCGGCAAGATAGCCGGCTATCTATCAAAGGATAAGTATACTGCACTGCAGTCCGTTCCGTCCTGGTGTACGGATATGAGACATGGAGCGATTGCAGGGTTTTGATCACAGATGTCTTGGTAACATTGCCCCCCTTCGGTGCAATCACCATGTAGTCAGGCGAAGGGTACTAGGCAAGGCAGACAAGCTGTTTGATGAGATTGTGAATCTTAATCGACTGATAAGGCTTGGACAAATACTGCACATGCCGAGCCACCGCCTACCTTGACCTGCCATGCTAGAGGAAGCTGAGTACGGTTGGAGAAGAGTTCAAGGTGACCAGACCAAGACGTGGCACCGACCCATGAAGTCTCTGACTGTTGATCTAAGTCGTGTGGGAAGATTTAGACCATCTGGTTGGGGTTCCCGAGACGACAGGAATCAGTAATTGAGAACTCTTGGTGACATGGCTGAAAATCGGTTATCTTCTAAAGCTTGAATGCTTGCACTCATCGTTATCTTCAAACTGATTATTCTCTCACATAACCTTGTCTACTTTGATATCATTCTTTTTCTATCCGCCTGTTCTTTGTGTACTACTATGAAGTGTGGCATCTTGAGCTGAAGCATCTGTGTGCGAGGTTCTACGTTGATTTTTTCAGTCAGTCTTCAGCAGTATGTAATAACCTCCAAACTGAAAAAATATGTATTGCAGTTATTGACAGATTTCATTCACTGTAGATTTCTACCACAAAGTAATGTATGGCCTCTATTAGTATATGAAACTTATATAAGAATGATGCGGATTATGCCTTTAACAGCTTGTCATGTTGTTATAATTATGTTCCTTTGATGAATATGTTCACATTCATAAACGAAAAAACCGAAATGCACTCAGCAACCTTGTCCCCGTCTGTGCGTTAGGCGATGAGCAACACCTGTTGTTTGTGGGTTAATGATACTATCTGGCTGCCCAAACTTCGGTAGGTGGAGCGGGCTTCGGACACATGACCCAATAGTTGAAAGTCATCACTCTAGCCCAATGAGTTACAGCTCCATTGACATTGATTAAGTAGTATATGGAAAACATTTCCGTATAAGTAGAGTTCATAGCAAAAAGGTTTTTAGAAATTTGTGTTAACGTGATACGCCAGTTGAAGTGACTTGATTCAGGATTCGACGACGAAAAATTATTAAGAGCCGACTCATTATAACTTCTACAGTAGGCAGTCAACTCTCTACCTCAACTTCATCGACTTCGCAAAGGCCTTCAACAGCGTCGACCAAGAAGTAATTTGGCAGGCAGTTGCTTCAACAATACGGAATACCACAAAACTATCAATCTCATTCAACAACTATATGAAGACGCCACATGACAAGTTATTCACAATGGAAAGCTCAGTAATGCTTTTGAAGTGAAGACAGGAGTGAAACAAGGTTGCCTATTATCACCCATGATATTCCTGATTGTGGTTGACTGGATCATGTAGCAAACCGTGAGGAGTAAGAAGAAGGGCATACGCTAGACGGACCGGGGGAAATATCCTAGAAGATTTGGATTTCGCCGATGACCTGTGTCGGGTGTCGCACAAACTCGAAGATCTACAGGCAAAAACTAACAAGTTGACAGAAGAGGCAGGTCAGCGAAGGAAGACGGAACTTCAAGTGAATATAGAGAAGACCGAGGTGATGAAGATACCCAGCCAACACCAACAACAACAAACTCCAGTCACCATGAACGAGAGAAACTTAAAGGAAGTAGCCTGTTTCACCTATGAAGACAGGGCAGCATCGTTTCGGAAGTCAAAGCGAGCCAGGATCGGAAAAGCAAGACAGGCGTTCATTAGCCTGAAACCAGTGTGGAGATCTGTCGCACTGCACTCGGCATAAAGTGTGAACAACATCCGGATTTTCAACACTAATTCAGTCAAGTCAGTGCTTCTGTGTGGTGGTTGAGAGACTTGGTGCGTTACGATAGGCATTTCGAACAAACTAGAGGTATTCGTCAACAACTGCCTACACTGGCTCGTTACTGACACTGAAGCTAAGATGGCCAGAATAATGAGAATAAGCAACAAGTAACTGTGGCTGGCAACGAATCAACCAAGAACCTATCACTCAACAAATATGCAGTAGCAGGAAGTGGAGATGGATTGGGCATACACTGTGAAGACCATTCGGGGATATCACTCACCCGTACAGGCACTCGAGTGGAACGTAGATGGGAAACACTGAGTTGGGCATCGGTGCTGAGGGTGACAAGGAGGAGATCATGTGAGTGAGGAAGAAACGATAGCTTGTGCGCAGTCTTGGAGTCAGGTTCAAAGATTGCAGACAATAGAGTGTAATGGAGATATGCTAGTGAAGTCCTATGTTCAACTAGAATTCCAGGGAATAAATAATAATAATAGTTGAACAACTTACAAATGCCCATACTTACCTTAAACTGGACCAAATTAGGTCTATTCGTTTCCAGTATAAGTGTTTTATTATACTGATATGGATTAGTGTAAGTAATCCGTTTATTACATGTTTCATTGATGCCTTGTTTAGGTAGCTTTATATTGAATGATTTTGTGATTTCCGGTTGTTTAACATCAACGCATAGAATCCAAGCACGTAGTACACGTTGAATATCTGGATCCACCACATTGATTTGATAGATTTTCTTACCAGCACACCTTGGGCATAATTTAACCTTCATAGTGAAAGGAAATATCATATGATTCAGTATGATGTAATATATATTATATTATTTATTGTGTATTATTACCAATACACCTGATACTAGTAAACTTTCTATGTCATCATTAGTTATAAATAGATATCTTACTGTTCTTTCCAAAATTAGGAGAGTTTATAACATTTTGATGGTCTTTCAATACTGTGGTGTTAGTCTACAAATTTCTTTTCATCTTAAATACGAGAGAAATACGAGTGAGTCTGGAAGTAATATTTCTCATACTCAGAGATAAGTCGACTAGGCAACAATATTTAACAGTTACTTGTATGTAGAGTATTTTAGATTGATGTAGAGCTGAGGAGAACAACTGATGGAACGTTAAGTAGATCAATTCTCAGAAAACCAATGTGGAATGGTCAACTGACGACACTTTAATAGCTGGGTCCCTATGAGTCGTAAGCGAAATCTGATCATATCTCTTGCCACTCGCATTAGACGAATCTGTAGTCCCGACGTGTTAGAAAAGGAAATTTCTGTTCTAAAGAACATTCTGATTGAAAACGGATTCCCGTTACGCTTCAAAGACAAAAACATCAGGCCCTAACCTTGAAAAGAAAACCTTACCAATGTGCTAAAAAAGACACTCTATATGGATCTAAACGTCAAAGACGATTCTGCTGCTAAAGTGCTGAAAAGGAAGATATAAAACGCTCTAAGGAGAATATTCTTCGCATCAACGCTAAGACTAGTATTCTGCTGTCAACCAACGATTTCTAACGACTCGCTGGACCGCGGAAATGAACCTAGAAGACTTGGATTTCGCCGATGACCTGTGTCTAGTGTGGCACAAACTCGAAGATCTACAGGCGAAAACTAACAAGTTGACAGAAGAGGCAGGTCAGCGAAGGAAGACGGAACTTCAAGTGAATATAGAGAAGACAGAGGTGATGAAGATACCCAGCCAACACCACCACCACCACCAACAACAACAACAACAAACTCCAGTCACCATGAACGAGAGAAACTTAAAGGAAGTAGCCTGTTTCACCTATATAGACAGGGCAGCATCGTTACAACTACAGGCGGCACAGACGAGGATGTCAAAGTCAGAATCGGAAAAGCAAGACAGGCGTTCATTAGCCTGAAACCAGTGTGGAGATCTGTCGCACTGCACTCAGCATAAAGCGTGAACAACATCCGGATTTTCAACACTAATTCAGTCAAGTCAGTGCTTCTATGTGGTGGTTGAGAGACTTGGGAGTTACGAAAAGCATTTCCAACAAACTAGAGGTATTCATCAACAACTGCCTACACTGGCACGTTACTGACACTGAAGCTAAGATGGCCAGAATAATGAGAATAAGCAACAAGTAACTGTGGCTGGCAACGAACCAACCAAGAACCTATCACTCAACAAATATGCAGTAGCAGGAAGTGGAGATGGATTGAGCATGCAGTGAGAAGACCATTCGGGGATATCACTCACCCGTACAGGCACTCGAGTGGAACGTAGATGGGAAACACTGAGTTGGGCATCGGTGCTGAGGGTGACAAGGAGGAGATCATGTGAGTGAGGAAGAAACGAGAACTTGTAGTCAGCTGTGGAGCCAGGCTGAAAAGATAGCAGAGAACAGAGTGTAGTTGAGATATGCTACTGAAGGTTTATATCTCACTAGGGACCCAAGGGACAAAAAATAATAAGAAACGAAAATTTCTGAATCATTATCTGAAGGATATATTTTGATTCTTTGGAGAAACTAGATTAGTTCATTATCTCACACGAGTTCATGGTCTTGTGTTGATATTTTATTAATAGCTGCAGTCTACCAACTTTCGTCATGTATGGTGCTGGTGGGATATCCAATTACCTATTAAGGGAAGAGTATGCTTCACTGCAGTTCATTGTCTTATTATTTGATCGTGAGATATAGTCCTTAGAGGTAGAAAATATGAAACACTTACAAGTTTCCTACCGCAGTTATCCTCGTAGCATTGTTTAAGTATGGTGGAATCCCTATGTCAGTAATGTCAGAGTTAGAAGATGGGTACTAGGCAAGTCGGTCTTTGAATCTCTACTGACTGAGGTGGCTTGGATGTGTGTTACGCTTTCCTAACCATGGTCTACATCGGTGAGTAATGATAGGAGAAGTTAGATTAGGTTGGAGGAAGGTTCAGGGTGACCAGACCAAGACATTTTATTGGTATATGAAGTCTCTGACTGTTGATCTGAAATGTGTAGGGAGACTTAGACTAACTGGTTAGGATACCTGAAAAGATATGAATCAGTCGTTGAGAACTTGGTGAAATGGTTGAAAATCGATCGCAGTGGAGCAAATGTATTCACTGTTTGACATCTAAAACTTAACTGACTTCACCTACCTTCATATTTTAGTTTCTTCTCCTCTCCTACACCCTTGTCTACTTTGATATCAATCTTCTTCTATCCACTTGTTCCTTGTATACTACTGTGTAATGTGGCAACTTGAATTGATGCACTTCCATCTGTTTGTTCTTTATACAAACGGTTTTCGATTTCGGTTTGAAATTCACTCATCTTGTTACATTAACTGAGTCACTATGCATTCATTATTAAGAACTAACTTAACATCACTTACCAGAAAACTGTTTAACCACAGATATACATGATAATGGTCTTGGTCGTGCACCAATGCTGTTTCACATGTTCAACTAGGTTCCTCTAAACATGAGGTCAGATGTTTCAGGGGACTATATATTCGCTTCAGTTAGCTTGGTGGCTAAATAGCTAACTTAACAGATAGATTTCGGTTAATGCTGAATACTAAGAATTTTACAGCTCTCTTTCAGTTATCATCTAGTCACAAATTTATATGGATACAGTCGTCTTTCAAGCAACAGCACAAAGGTTCAGTACTGTCCGGATTCAGGAATGCTTCTGTATGGTAAAGATAGTATGGAAATTGCCAGTCGATTGTTCAGAGTTATCAAGAAATATATAACACTGGTCAAAGTGATGATTTTACACATGATATCTTGTTTTTACTTAAGCAACACCACCTCAAATGTTCACTATTCATATTTTAGCCGAGTTTCAAGAAGATGTACACTAACCTTTAATTCGTAAACAGAACGAGATGAAACGGACAGTGTTAGTTCTTTTCCGATAGGATTCTGCTGTAAACCATTTGAAGTAAATTCTGTACCAACTAATACTTCATTAGGATGACTAGTATATATACTGATACGTTTTGAGCCAATATTTGGTGAACAATCATCTGTACGTAATAATAAGCCTATTGGAGCAGATGACTGTCCAATTGTTGCAACAGCATCTATTCGTTGAAGTGAATGTATAGCCCAGTACCAAATATATGCTGGACGAATTTGAAAAGGTTCCACATATACACTGATAAGAAATTCACGTATCTACAACAAATAAAAATATATACAAATAAGCTATATCAGTAAAAATATGCATAGAAAGTTTAGTGACACACTTGTGATCGTGTACTTACTGAGCCACCGGCTCACCTGTTTTCTCTTCCTCTTTTTCCCTCCAGATTCTCGTGGCTAAGACCAAATACACACTGCTGTACGCCCCTACCTGCAATAATGTACCTATCTACAGGCAAGACGAAAACGTATCAACGGCTGGTAGTTACATTTTGGTGTTGGAGGTGAGATACGGCTCGCTCACAATCGAACCGACATGCGCTCAACAGCAGCCATCCCCTCCAATGTAACTCGCACCAGCTTCACACACTACACCTAGCCTCTAGCTCACTCAGGTACAACCAGGTACTGAGGACAGTACCTCCAAAGAAGGGGGAGTAGTGTAACGCATTCGAAATCTCACTCATTCATCTTCCAGTTTCGATTTCTAGACTGCCTCATCTCTTCGTTGTCAAGCTCTACCATTTTTCAGTTATCTTTTATTATCAAATATAAGTACATTCTGTGTACTTGCTGAGTCGCCGACCCATCTTTTTTCTCTTTTTCTCTCCCCTTCCAGATTCTCGTGGTTACCACCAAATTCACACTGCTCTATGCGCCCCCGTGCAATAACATACCTACCTACAGGACAGACGAAAACGTATCAACAGCTGGTCGTTACAATCTAACGGTAACACCAACCAAATTCACGTTACGATAGTCGTGTAATTGTAATCGCCAACATCCAAGACCCATTATTTTTATAATATTGTAGTGAAAGTTTCTTGTAAGAGTAAAAAATAGGCCCAAGAATGGAACCCTAAGGGGAAACGACGAGTTGGGCGTCGGAGGGTGACATGGACGAGATGGTATGAGGAAGAAATGAAAGCTTGTGGGCAGTCGTGGAGCCAGATTGAAAAGAATTCAAAGAGAGTGAAATGGTGACGTGCTAGTGAAGCCCTAGGTTTCACTTGGAATCCAAAGAACAAATTATATATATATCGACTGTTGAGGAATAAGGCAAAAAGAATTTGTAATACTGAATGTGAATTTAAAGTTCAACAATTATCTAGAATGATATAAGATCATTTATAGATGGATAAACTAATGGTTAAGTCTAGCAATTTTACTATTATCAGTTTTAGTATCTTAATAAACTATTTTACTGTTTCATAGGACCTTAATATTAAGTAAACGTAATTAAGACATGGAACAGAAGAGTTCTCAAAAATAATAGCGTATCTATTTATGGTAATGTGTTGATTAATTTGTGGCGTTGTTCTTCTGTGTTTTCTAAGTGTAAGGTAAGACCGTAAACTGGTCATATCATACAGAAATAGATCTTCTTAAATGATATCCCATATCAAGGAATATCTAAGCACTCTTTCAGTTTTCAGTTATAAGGATAGTGGGCCAGTTGGCCTGTGTTAATCCTTGCAGAAGATATCTCTGTGAAGATCTAGTTTCTCCGTGAACGCGTTAACAGAAGGCGCTGATACTACTTGTTGAGGTAAAGAGTTCCAGTCGTTGACTACAAGATGAGAGAAACACAGATTCACGCTAAGTTGATTTGATCGTGGTTTCTGAGTTTTCTTGTGATGCCCTCGGTGGTAGTCAGTCTTAGCAGTGGAGAAAGGATAGGACATATCAGTACCGAAGTCATTATTAAGAATACGAAATACTAGTATGAGATCACCCCGTTTCCAACGGTAAGACAGTGGGGATAAGTTTAGCTGATCTAGTCGTTCCTGATAGAACAGGACTTCCGAGTATCCAGTATACTACTACTGATTTATCCCCAAATCACATTTTTTGTTATTTATGTTGTGTAAAATGTTGCATAGGAGATCAATCGAGTTACCAATATACGAAGTCAGGTTAATTTATAAGTTTTGATCTTATAGATGTTTCCTATGGGTTTGTGAACCTCGCCTGATTAAGAAGTTCACTAGTTACTAGCCAGTCCTAAGCCCGGGTAAAAGGGAAGGTTGGGCATAGAGATAGCAACCCTACCCGGTAAATCAAATCCAACCGCTAAAAAAAAACTTCAAAGCACAAACGAAATATAAAAAATAAAAACAAACTTATTCCTCGCCGGAATCGGAGAGACGAAGTGATGCCGGTTGGTGAAAGCCGGCCTTCGGGAAGCCAATCGGCCGATGTCTCTTCTCTACTCTCGATGATAGCGGAAGTGAGCATAGAGATATAGAATGTCCACACCATGAATGAACCTAGCAAGGCTTCCCAGATTGCAAAGGAGATGAGAAGGTATAGCATAGAAGTGCTAGGAATCTGTGAAAGTAGATGGAATGGAAGTGGACTCTCCAAACTGTCAACTGGAGAGGAGTCAATAATCTACTCCGATATTGTCACCCAGATGACAACTAAGAGGACACTGAGTCCTCGAGTGGCTATCATGATACCCTCAATAGAATTGAAGGCTCTCTCATGCAGTGGGAACCAATCTCTTCCTGTAGGATCATGACAGCGAGATGGATTCAAGTCGAAAGGAAGGAAAGTCACAATCATACAATGCTACGCTATGCACCTACAAACAATGTAGATCAAGATAAGAAGGAGGAATCCTACAGACAACTGCAATCACTAATGGACAAGACCCCACTCCAGATGGTGACATCAAAATTCTAATGAATGGGGTGACATGAATGACAAACTGGGAGCAGACAACACAGGAAGAGAACTCATCATGTGTCGAAAAGCACTCGGTGAAATAAATGAGAACGGAGAACTGTTTTGCAGATTTCTGGGCATTCAACGATTTGATGATTGGGCAGGCGTGGCACCAGGTTGAAAAGACTGCAGAGAAAAGAGTGCAATGGAGGTGTGGTACTGAAGCCCTATGTTCCACTAGGAACTCAAGGGAAAAATAATATAATAATGGGTTTGTGAGTCAAAAAATGAATATGATTGCAAGGCTAAAGTACTGTGTTAGGAAGTAGTATTGACAATAAATCTTCAAACTTCTGTTGCTGTTTTTATCTCTGTAAGTAATATTACTGTCGAAACGAAAGGTCTTACTGCCTTTACGTGCGTATGCCTGTAATGTAGATGGGGAGAGCGTTTCCCTGGTCGACCACATGATACCTTCTTCACACAGACTCGGTAAGTGGGACGATTTTGGTGTAAAAGCAGTGCAGTGGACAGATAGATAGGCAGACACACACATAAGTCTGCCTCTCCTTAATAATTAAGCAGTTATGACACCATACTACAGTCAACTTGAAGATTCTGAAGTAAACTGTCTTAAAGAATACTGAAGGAAAATCCTATGAACTTTTCCGTAATCTACAGTCCATAAGGGTTTGATAGAGATATAGTTTAAGATTCAAAAAGCTGAACCCAGGTGATCAGAACAATTTAGCTGTGTCAGTTGGATTTGTCTTGGTACACTGTTGATGAGCTCGGTGGCAAATGGGTGAAATGGTCATTCGGGTTTTATATCACTCTCATTTAGCTAGCGAGATCTGCAGGATTTTCACGAGACATTATTTAGTGTTTTAAAATGAATAAGTGTAAATCTAGTTGCATAGGTATATAGAAAAGTTACTGTATAACGTTATATATAATTGTATAAGTGTAATTATCCAGCCTGTGTTGGTCAGTGTTTTCATCTTGAAGTAAATGTATACCTTAACTTACAGAGAACTGAGAGATAAATGAACGTTGCTCGCTGCACAAGCAGGCAGAAATCTTTATAAAAGGTTGTGTGTAGCGCCACTCTGTCTGTGGATAAAAGCATAAACACCATATTAGATTCGTTTATTTGGTGTATTCCACACAGTATTACAGTATTATTTACTTGATGACGAAGTAGACGTTAGTTGGTTGGGAGCAATCAACAGTAAACCCTGGACCACGTTTTCGTGCTTTTTATCACTCGTCAGTAAGGCGTATCTGCAACCTCGATAGAACTGATGTCCCGCCTGAGATCCGAACCCGCGTCACCCAGTGTTGTGGTCAGCGACTTTACCACTGAGCTATTTGGGCCGCGATTGACCTCCTGTAGGACTGGCTTACATGTATTGATTGGTCACGGGAGTGCAACCAATTTCATATTGTCTAGTCCTGGGTGTAGACCAAATCCTATCGATCATATTTGCAATGTGGCAACCAAGCTAGGAAGCTCAGCATCACGGTGCATATTAGATGTTAGTTGGCCCAATGGTGAAGTCGCTGACCACAACACTGGGTGGTGCGGGTTCGAATCTCAGGCTGGACATCAGTTCCGTCGAGGTTGCAGATAAGCCTTGCTGATGAGTTTCAAAAAGCAGGAAACAATGGTCCAAGGCTTCCTGTGGATTGCCTCCAACCAACTAACATCTACTAATGTGCACCGCGATGCTGAGCTTCCTAGCTTGGTTGCCACATTTCAAATGTGATCGATAGGATTCGATCTGAGCTCAGGACTATACAACATGAAATTGGTTGTACTCCCGTGGCCGATCAATACTTGGTGACGAAGTTTCCAGCATAAATTATCACTGCTCATAATCATATTAGTGTAATCACATAGCATTTTCGACATTTGATTTTTATAATCCTATCACCTCGTATTCGTCACTTTTATTGGCAGTAAGGTTTTCCATATCTCTGGCATAGGTGTTGAGTCGTTCTTATCACATGTTTTGATTCGATGAACAAAGATTCAGTAATCAATATCTCTCCTCTTCAGCGTTTTTATTCCACCCCTCTTGTGTGACTGTGTGTTAATGCATGCAGTGCAATAGCCAAATGTTTTTCTAGATTATAAATTTTACTAGTGTCTTTCATTCTATATTTAGCTAAATCACCATGTTGCAATAATCTAACTTACCCCGAATCAGCTAGTTTTATCTATGTACTTGATCTACCAGTCACTGTATAAGATTAGGTAGATTAGATTATTCTGCTTAATTGAATTTATCGGATCCTTAATCCAACCGACAAAGCTTATCTCTGAGTGAGTTTTTAGGTTTAAATACCACCATGATTTCGGTGTCGTTGAGTATTCTAATGTAAAGTTTTCTGATGTTCTTTTCTCAAATGGTAACACAATAGAGACTTTAAAGTTATTTCTACTCGTGTTTTCACTATTCTGCATACTCGTATTAGTGTTAATAATTTGTTCTTTATGTTTTCCTGAGAATTTTTTTATTAAACTATAAAGGATAATTATTAATTATTAACGCTTCTTTTATGTGTCTCATTTCCTTGTTGAAGTGTTCGAATGTAATAGACATGACGCCATACCTATACCAGAGTTATGGAAAACTTTACCACCATTAAAAAGAAAACAAATTAATATGAGGCAATCATGACACTATTTTAAGTTTTATGATGATATACCATTTTCAGTAGTATATAAAAATATGCATAAATTTTTTTTAATTTGCTTATTTAGTAAGAACTAAAAAGAGAAGTGATACTGTGTAAAAAAAAAAACTGTCGTACTTGTGGTGATTTTCCTAGACCAACTTTAATCAATAAATCAATTGTATCACCTTGAACATTTGATAAAGTTAACACATCTTGATCAGAGACTCTAGTCCATAGTTGATAATTAATTGGTTGAATTATTTGATCAGGCATATAAATATTTCTCCAATCTATTGCATTTCTTGGAAGACGTAAAATTTTTTTTAGATAACTTAATTCAGGATGAAAAAATCGGAAACTATGATCAATTATTGGCGGTTGAATATGAACATGTAGAATTAATTGTGATATTATCTTTCCATATGTAGTTGACTTGAAAATTACCTATTAAAAATGACAAATAAATTAAGTGGAAATAACGTGTATTGTTAAATCAAAATGAACATATTGGTAAGTAGGTAGGTAGGTAATTCAATTGCTATAGGTAAATGTTGAGTTTATATGAGTTGCAATTAGACTATCAAGTAGTAAAGTGAATTGTGATGAGTTGCAGACTCCATCTTGATAGTTGGAATCTACTCAATACCCCTGTGCATATTCATTCAGTAGGCCATGAGCCAATCCTATTGTGTGAAGAGTAGTGAGATTTATTGTATGACTTGTCCAACCTCTGTAGAGGTAGAATGACACTGGAACCGGCGGCCGGAGGCTTCAAAGTCACCTTTTTAAACCAAAGGTTACGAATGCATACTAACCTTCTAATAAGCTGGATTTCACTAACTAACCACCAGTGGGTAACTGGTGTTACAGTCTGATAGTTAATGCTGAATGCAGTCTTGCTAAGGAACAGAAGTTACATCAGTTAACTACTAGTGGGCAATTTGTGTGAATAGTCTAGTCCTACAGGGTCATAATCTAAATGTCTGAGTTGTTAGGTCATTGGCTTAAGTGCTGAGTGACACCTGTTCGAATCACGGAATTTGTGTAACAGTTCAACTTACTAAACCGCACAACAGTACAACAGAATACAAGGTAGCAAGATGAAAAATACGGAGATAGGAAGTTGTTGAAGGTAACCAAAGAAGAGAAGAAGTGGGCTTCAAGCAAATAACGAAATGAAATAAGATGCTAAGAATGAAGACAATGTAGAAATACATCTACACCACTGATTCCAATTGTGACCCAAACATCTAAGGTCTTCAATCATCGATTTCGTTTATTGTTTGAACCCCAACTGCAAAATCTACACGGTTCAAATCATTTTAACACTCTGTGTTTAATCATGCTTAAAACACTTCATGATGTTCATCAATGAAAGCTTCAACCATCTGTTTCTGATACACTTACACCATCTGAGTAATCGAAAATATTGCCTGATTTGCTTTCTTGATATTCAACCAACAATTTGGCTGACTGCTGGAAAAGCTTTCATTTTTAAGTAACTAAAAGCCTATGAAAATAACTACATACAAGACAGGTTTTTATTCCTAGTCAATACCAACTTGAAGATTCCATTCCAGTTCATTTGAAAATTTAACACATGATTGTAAAACTCCTCACCTTTCTACTGACTAGGATTTTCAGATTAAATTAATTACAAATTATTATTGTTAACCAATTAATCTGTGTTCAATGATTCACTGTTCAATGTGTCAATGGAAATTCCCAACTGTTAAAATTACTTACGAAATTAACTTTTTCAGTTTAAACAGTCTTTTTTTAATAAAGCTCGATGGATGAAAAGACATCCTTAAAAAATCTTTCTAATATTTCAATGAATCTATCGTAAACCGAAGTGATCAGGTAACCAAGATAAGTTGTACAATGAAAGTGATATGCAATGAAGGCATTGAAGACGGTAACAAGTGAAAAGAAAGCTAAAACTCTATTATGATGTAGAGGAATCAAGAATACTGAAATTCAGTGTTTAAAGTACATCTTGAGCAACTTATTTTCTGCCCTCAGTATAATTAGTTGACTAGATGAAAAGTTAAACTTATTAAGAATTATTGTAGTATGTATTTTGTCAATGCTACGCGTCTAAAAGATGAAAACACATCAAAACTATACACGCTGTATTATTATTACTATTATTTGTCCCTTGGGTTTTAGTGGAACACAGGGATTCAGTAGCACATCTCCATTACACTCTCTTCTCGGCAGTCTTTTCAGCCTGGTGCCACGACTGCCCACAAGCTTTCATTTCTTCCTCACATCATCTCCATGTCACCCTCGACTCAAACGTCCAACTCGTCGTTTCCCCTTTGCATCCCACTCGGGAGCATGGCCTGGTGCGTGATGTCCCCAATCGGCCTTCTCAGTGTATGCCCAATCCATCTCTACTTCCTGCTACTTCATATTTGTTCAGTAACAGGTTCTTGGTTAGTTCGTTCCCACAGTTCCTTGTTGCTTATTCTCATTATTCTGGCCATCTGATCAATCTTCAGTATCGAGCCAATGTAGGCAGTTGTTGATGAATATCTGTAGTTTGTTGGAATTGCTTTTCGTGACACTCCGGAGCTTCTGAACCATATAGCAGCATTGACTTGATATTGGTGTTGAAAATCCGGATCTTGTTTTTTGTGCTGAGTGCAGTGGATCCCCACACTGATTATTTCAGATTAATGAAAGCCTATCTTACTGTCTTTCTGATCGTGGCTTTGACATCCTCACTTGTGCCGCCACCACCGCACGTAGTTGAAACGATGCTGCCTAGGTAGGTGGGTGGGTGAAAGAGACTACTTCCTTGAAGTTTCTCCCGTTGATGGTGATTGGTGCTTGTGGTTAGTGCTGTTGTTGGCTGGTATCTTCATTACCTCCATCTTCTCTACATTCACCCGAAGGAAGTTCCGTTTTCGCCGCCCTGCCTCTTCTGTCAACTTGTTGGTTTTCCCCCGTAGATCTTCGAGTTTGTGCTATAAGACATTAGACATAAATCGTCATCGGCGAAATCCAAGTATTTTTCTGGGGTCTTTTCATAGGTCCAGTTAGCGTATGCCTATCTTCTCGCTCTTCACTGTTTGCTTCATGATCCAGTCCAGTCGACCACAATCAGGGCCTGTGTTCATTGGTAGTTCTGCCGTTACTGGTGGTATTTCCGGACGAGTTGCAGATAAGATAAACATCGAATGAGGTACGATGTGGATATAACATTAACCCCATTGGTTAAAAATGTTTCACCATACCTACTATACCCTTGGGTTAGCTGTAATTTTCAAGTTCACCGAAATACAAGACAAGATATGCAATACATGCTGAAGGTTGATCACAAAGATTTGTGAGATACATTTTTCAGCTGGAAACTGTTCTCCCCTTATGAGGTTAGCCTAGATTAGCTGGTAAACTCCCTTGATTCTACTCAAAAAAAGAGGAATCAAATGAATATTCCTTTATTATGTTCAATGGATGGAGAAAATCGGCAGTTAGCCCTGAAACTAGACGTTATGCCCATTGGCACTCATCAGCAAGACGTATCTACAACCTCGATGGAGGTGATACCTCCTCAGAGATTCAAACTAGCGTCACACAGTGTTAGAGTCAGAGACGCTACCAATCAACTATTTAAATGAGCCATGATTCAGGGGTTTTAAGTAGATGACTATCAACCATTCGGTTTAGAGTTCGAGTCCCGCTCCATCTACTAAGGTCTGAGCAGCCAAGTAGTATCACTAGCTCTTACACAATAGGTATGGCTCATTGCCTACTGCAAGAATATGCATATGGTCATTGAGTGCGCTACTTTTCGTTCTTCGTACTAACGAGTGACAACAAATACAAAACCGTTGGCCAGGGCTGCTTATTGCCTGCAAGCATCTAGCATACATCAAAGTGGACAGTAATTCTCTGAATATCTTTAGTTTTACGTGAAACTGTATCTCACTAATCTTGCTACTTGATTTTCAATCGTAACTCAGCTTTACCTATGAAATTTCGGGCTACCACGTAGTATTATTACTATTAGCCCTCACACAGTAGGTATGACCCATTGCCTACTACTCCAATATACACAAAGTTGTTGAATGAATTTTGATTTTTCTCGTTTTACGTGATTAAAATTGTCTAAATTAATAGAAACAATATGGTTTTTAATAATATTTCGATTTAGAGTAATATATTTTGATAGAAACTGGATACTGGAGTTGTAAGAACTTAATCATCTTACTTGTACAACACGATTCATATGCGTTGGCTTGTCTTCAACACTTGAGATGAACTCTGATAGCTGAAATAAGTAATAATACACAGAGTTAATTGAAATTAAAGAAGGCAATAGTAAGATTATAACCTAGATTATATCAAATATGTATAAAAAAAAAAATATATATATATTTAAAATCCCAGTGGGTTAGATAAATAGAATTTTGATTGCTTACGACTTCATTATGATTATGATTATTATTTGTCTCTTGGGTTCCTAATGAAACATAGGGCTTCAGTAGCAACTCTCCAATGAGCTCTGTTCTCTGAAATCTTTTGAACCTGGCTCCACGACTGCCGACAAGCTCTCATTTCTTCCTCGCACGATTTCCTCCATGTTACCCTCCGCACCGATGCCCAGCTCGTCGCTTCCCATTGGGGTTCCACTCCAGGGCCTTGCCTGACGTGTGATGTCCCCAGTCGACCTTCTCAGTGTATGCTCAATCCAACTCCACTTCCTGCTACTGAACATTTGTTCAGTAATAGATTTTTGGTTAGTTCGTTCCCACAGTTCCTTGTTGCTTATTCTCATTATTCTAGCTTCAGTAAGGAGCCAGTGTAGGCAGTTGTTGATGAATGTCTGTGGTTTGTTGGAAATGCATTTCGTAACTCGCCAAGTCTCTCAACCATCACATAGAAGCACTGACTTGACATTTGTGTTGAAAATCCGAATCTTGTTCACACATGCTGAGTGCAGAAGATCTCCACACTGGTTTCAGGCTAATGAACGCCTGTCTTGCTTTTCCGATTCTGACTTTGACATCCTCATCTGTGCCGTCGCCGCCTGTAGTTGAAACAGTGCTTCCTAGATAGGTGAAGAAGGTTACTTCCTCCAAGTTTCTCTCGTTCATGGTGATTGGTGTTTGTTGTTGTTGTTGTTGTTGGTTGAATATCTTCATCACCTCTGTCTTCTCTACACTCACTTGAAGTCCCGTCTTCCTTCACTGACCTGCCTCTTCTGTCAACTTGTTAGTTTTCGCCTGTAGATCTTCACGTTTGTGTGACATCAGACACAAGTCATCGGCGAAATCCAAATCTTCCAGGTTCTTTTACCCTGTCCAGCGTATCTCCCCTCTTCTCGTTACCCACTGTTTGTTGTATGATCCAGTTCAGTCGACCACAATCAGGAAGATCATGGGTGATAGCAGGCAACCTTGTTTCACTCCCGTCTACACTTCAAAAGCATCACTGAGCTTTCCATTGTGAATTACTTGTCATGTGGCATCTTCATATAGTTGTTGAATGAGATTGATAAAGTTTTGTGGTATTCCGTATTGTTGAAGCAACTGCCTGCCAAATTACTTCTCGGTCGACGCTGTTGAAGGCCTTTTCGAAGTCGATGAAGTTGAGATAGAGGGTTGACTGCCATTCTTTACTCTGTTCTATGATGATGCGAAGCATTGCAATTTGGTCTGCACATGATTCTTACTTCCTGAATCCAGCCAGCAAACTGTTCCGGTCGTAGTTTTGAATCCAGAGCATCATTTAGTCTCTCCAGGATGATGTGGCTTAATATTTTGCTTGCTCTGGGTGGACAGGAGCGTGATCCCACCCCCGTTCTTGCAAACACTCATGTCGCCCTTCTTCGCAGTTTGACAAGGTAACCTTTCTTCCAATCGCCAAGTACCTTCCCTTCCTTCCAGACCTTCTGCAATAGTGATGTGAGCATATCCGCTGTTGTCTCTGCGTCTGTTCTCAATGCTTCTGGCGGGATTCCATCTGGTGTTTACGACTTCATAGAAGTCACCAATTCAAAGAATAAAGCTTGTACATGTTATCGCATGTCTATATTATAAATGGCAACAGATGAGATCACGTTGTGCTTACATGATAATTAATGTGAGAATAAGTGATGATGTGGTCTGTTATTAGGCCATGAGTTGAAGATGAATGTATGTGCACATATTAATATAGGAGCAAAACTTAGGCAATGTGGTAGACTGTAATTCCATTTTAGCCTGTTTATTTGAAATATCATATAATTCAAACTATATAAACTTTGTATCAAAGTTGTGGAGTGTTATGTAATATGAATATGGACAATAAATTATGTCCAAAATGTTATCCAGTTAATGATACTATTTTACTGTGTGATATTTCGAATAAACAGGTTAAAATGTGTACACATATGTATGGGCCTGAAGGTGTGAGAGAAACAACAACTATGAATGGAAAAATTCAGTTTTTTTTGTATGTATTTACCTATGATATGACTAGTGTTTTGAAGTGATATTTCAGATATATTGTCCAAAGTGGTTGAATAGCTAGGTCTTCCTTTCTGTTGAGTTCACTAGGACTCAATATAATGTGAAACGACTCAGCTCTCTGTCGTTCCTTGTGGTTTTCAAAATCATTCTGAATGATATCAATATTTTCTCAATTGATTTTATGACTGTGATAGATAGCATGAACAGAAAGTGCTGAGTTGATTTATAAATTTTCCAGTTCCACAGGATTAGTTGGGGATCATATTCGTCTAATTTGCATGTTCTTTAACACGAATGAAGATCTTGCAATATGATTCTCCAATTTACTATTTAAACATCCAATAACTTTTACAGGTTTTATTCTCTGAAGAAGCGATTTCTACGAGGTCACGAAACGTAAGAAATTTATTTTTCCACCTCATCGAGATTTTACAAATATATTTCCGAAGGTTGACGGTGAAGTATGTTCTGTTTATGGATTTTGACAGTCGTTTCCTCAGGATCTCTGCAACAACTTTGCCCATCAGATTCTAATATCTCCCGTCTATACAATCTCCCTAAAATACACAAAGAAGGCATCCCACTCCATCCAACACTAGATATGATAAATTCTCCATGTCATTAAATCGCGAAATGGCTTGTGGAAGTGCTGGAACCTGTAAAGAAGAGGCTATTGAACTACACTCTCCGTGATACATTTGATTTTATTGCCTCAATAAAGAGTGTCAATTTGGCAGGTAAAAGAATGATTTCATTGGATGTCGTGTCCCTCTTTACAAATGTCCCACTGATAGAAACTATCTGCTTCCTATGCGAATTCACTGAACGTCATAACATACATGTTGGTATCCCAATTCACTACCTAAAAGAGCTTTTCCTTCGATATACCTTCAATGTAAACTTTAGATTTAATAATGAGATCTAGAAGCAGATAGATGGTGTGGCGATGGGGACTCTCCTAGGAACCCTCTTAGCTGACTGCTTCATGGCAAGCCTGGAAAACACCAAATTATCATAAACAATCAATGAACGTCATGTCTACAAAAGATACATGGATGATACATCTATAGTTTACGGTGAAAATATGAATCTTGCAAACTTTCATCATACACTCAACAACGCCCATCCTTCAAACAAATTCACCTAGAATTAGAATCAAACTCAACCTTCCATTTTCTTGGTGTTCACCTTCAAAGAAAAGACGATAATTCACTTCATAGATCGATGTACAGAAAGCCTACATGGAACGAACAATTTGTTAATTTTCAGAGTTCAGTCCCCTATGCAGGAAAAGAAATCTTATTATTCACTTTCCTCGAGAATCAGGAAAATATGTACTGAGGACATGGTTGACGGAGAACTGCAAATACTTCGATAAACTCTAGTGGAAAACGGGTTCCCGCTCAGATTCATAGATAAGAACATAAAGTCAAAGAACCCAAGTGAATGAAGGCATTTGGCGCCGAGAAAGATTTTTTTGTTGAATCTTGAATTTAAAAATGATATTTCTGCAGAGATCTTAAGGAAACGACTGTCAAAATATATTTCCATTATAATCCATTTACCTAATGCTCAACTTATTCAAATTGATCAGGTCAAATCTTGATCCTGAGATCTATAAATATCTATTGATTGTTGTGTAGTTCCCTTTTTCACTTGCATAACGCTTCTGTTGCAATAAATGTTCAGGATAAACGTGATATAGATAATTTCGGGGTTGTTTGTATTCTACAGGATTATCCCAACTGTGGTTGGAAATGTAAAATGCAAAAAAGTATCTAATTCTTATTCCAGAACTGAATTTTGCGATTAAAAGATGTTTTAGTGTTATTGCTTGTAATACATCGTCGTTGATTGGACCAAATTGATCAGTCTCTGTTGGCATATGGACTCCTGTGTGGATGTCTCGATATTGCCTGTGTTTTTAATTATGTATAGTAATGACGGGTAGTGGCTAGCAGTGGAATCCAGGATGTGCATTTTGTCCTATTTGGGACTCGTCAGCTCGATGTACCTGATTCTGAGTGAATGATGTTGTTCCCACCGGGACTCGGACTCGGGAGCGATCGCTTCAAACACAAGAGCGTTATCGTGGCTTACTGGTGTAGTGCATAGCGCTGTTGTGTTTGAAGCGGTCACTCTTAAGTCCGAGTCCCGGTAGGAACAACATCATTCACTGGGAGGCAGGTATATCGAGCTGATGAGTCCTAAACAGGACGAATCGCGCGTCCTGGATTCCACTGCTAGCCACTGACCATCATTGCTACACATAGTTGAAAGATGTTTTACTTCTACAAACAGACAAGTCGTAAAATGAAGGTTGTCCACTGACTCTGGGAATGACCTTAAGAAGGCAAATGATGGATTGGATGTATCATACAGTGAAAGAACAGTATTGTTTACTGGATTACGTTTCGGACATAATTTATTGTCCACAGTCATGTCAAGATAACTACACAACTTTCAGATATCCTTTATATAGTACTAATTTCCTCGTCTCTTTGTGAGATGGGTAGTAAGATTTTCCATGTATCCGGAACAGGTGCTGAGTCATTCCTGTTTCATGTAGTAGGTGTTGGTTGATTTGATAAACAAAGATATTCAGTCATCAGTCTCCCTGTGTTAGTTTTAAGGATTTTCACCCTGTCCTATCCCATTGTGTGGTTACATGTAATCGCATGGATAGCTATGGCTGAGCATTTTTCTAAATTCCTTACCTTACTATGATATACCAATTTTGACCTAGATAGGTTTTTGTGCTCGGATAGCTTAATTGGTCCTGGTCGACTACTTTCACCTGGCAATCGTTGCAAGGGCTTTGGTAAACTAAAATATTCTGCTTAATTGGATCAGTATAATCTTTTAACCAATAAAGCTTATTTTCAAGTGAGTTTGGAGGCCTAAATGCCACTCTAATCCCAGCCTTATTGAGGATCCTACTTTATGTCTCTGAAGTGACTTACTTGTATGGTAATACTGTAGAAGTTTTGAATTCTCTCTTCACAGTATTGCCACTACTATTATTAACATTATCAATAATATCTGTGTTACTAATGTTAGTCACATTTTTCTTATTATTTCTAAGGCACTTATCAATTAATTTGGGTGGGGGGGCAACTGATGACGAGTAAGGTGTCTTTAATGTATCTGGTTTCTTGTCTTAAATCCGTTTTACTAGTAAGTTTTCTGGCCCTATTACTGGGACATTTTATCACGCCAACTTTAACAGACATAGGGTTGGACGATTTGAATTCAAAGTAACGATTCGAGTGTGAAGGTTTTCTGTAGACACTAGTTTCTAAATTCCTATTTTATTTTCGTGTTATTTAGCAATCCAACATCGCTAATTCCACTTCACTGTTTCCCAATTTATCGGTGAATTGGATTGCATTGACTACTGAAATTTTAAGTGTAAAGAAACTATGCGGTTCGATTTCAACACTGTAAACGTGTTATCTACATTTCGAAATTGTACTTTTGGTGCAGGAATTAATGTTTCCACAGCCATCCCTTCCCAACTATCTATAAATATCTACCACGATATTGGTGATCCCATGGCAGCTCCTTCTGTATGTTTGTATATTATATTCTGAAACCTAAAGATTGTGGAAGTTAGGCATAGCTGTACTGCTTAAATTAAAGCGTGATATTGATCAAGTGAATTCTTATGGCTAAGTATGAAAACTACGGAAGTCACTGCTGTGAAACAGTCGACATTATTGGTTCATGTGACAGGTATCTTGTCGGAATGAATTTTCGGGAGAGTGAACGGCATTTTATTATATAAGACTGTAAAGATTCAGTGAGATACGTTTCATATACGTTTACCACGCGGAAGGGAGTACGGTGAAGGAACCTATCACCTGGTTGATGTGGATGCGTTGAAGACTGATAATTAAGAGACTTCTAGATTAGACTGATAACTTTTGAGGAAGCGTTAACAGAGTACTTTGGCACGACTGTTCGTGTTCATGTGGAAGCGCTGCTTTGATGTTTTCTGCTTAACAAGGGGACCGAACCGCCAGGTTTGTGCTGGAACGTCCATAGACTTTTCAAGAAGTCACCAAACCCTATAGGTTTGTTCTTCTACCTAACTGAGATTATACAAATATATTTCCTTTATAAATCATTAACGTTTTGCTCAACTTATTCAACTCTATCATGCCAAGTGTGGGTCTTTAATTCTACAAAATTATAGATAAATATATGTATTACACTTACACTTCTTTCATCTACACCTTCATATTGTTTAGCGTTATGAAACATTGTTGATTCTTCATATTTCATCGGTAACAAAACGGTTTCATTTGGTTTAAGAAATAATGTGACATTGTTCTTTTTCAACAGCTTCCTTTCAGTATTACTCTTTTGCTCAGTTGTATAATCATCATTAGTTAAATCTATAGCAAATAAATTGTCTTCCGTTGGCGTATCAATACCAAAGGCTAATTTTAGAGCACGTACTTCACGTGAATCTATAACAACGGATAAGCTGTTCCTAAAATTGTAAACAACCGTAACACTCTCAAGTAGTTAGATAATAAAACATATGTTAGTGTTGATATTATACCCATCGCACAAAACTGGCTATCGTAACTCACTCCTCTAGTCGGGAACATTCTTGTGTTTCAAGCGTTCGATCTTTGGTTAGTGTCTTAGTGAGGACAACATTGTTCACTAGGAGGCGCAGGTACATGCGACTGACGAGTCCCAAATAGGACGAAACCAGTGTCATGAATTTTACTGCTAGCCACTATCCATCATAAAAACCAAAGTTAGAGGAGTAAAATGCTCATCGTGAAAATATTCTTGGCCAGAGAATCTGTTGAAAAACATAGCACTATAACTCGTAAAACTGCACTGTTTCTAGTCAATAAGTGATACCTTTGGTTGTACGACTTTAAGTACAGTATACACTGTAGTTGTGTAGGCTGTAACTCATTGGCTCAAGGATTCGACTTTCAGTTAGTGATTCAGGGTTTTGAAATCGCTCCACCTACCAAGGTTCGGCCACCCAGGTAGTATTAGTAGACGTCTTGCAATCGGTGTGGCCTACTATACGAGTGTGCTCAACGCTAGTGAGTCTATTTTAGCGTAATGCAGTACAGTGCCCTCCAGCTACACAGACAGATCCTTATGATATGGAAGTTATATTTGAACAATAATGAATATATGTCTCAATTCCTTGTTTAAGTGCTCGAATGGAACTTATATCCAATACATGTTATAGACATGACGCCACACCTGTACCAGAATAATGGAGAATTTAACTGCAAATAGAATCAAAGAATAAGAGGTGACAGGACTTTAAAAATTAGATATCATAAGGAATGTGGTTATATAGGTATGATTATGAGCAGTAATTTATACTCGAAACGTCATGTATCACTGTGTTATATATCAAACTGAAAAATCTAATATGGAATTACATCCTATCATAGTTCCCAAGTTCCAGTTATATCCTCTCTTCCTTACATCTTACATCTAACGAAAATTTTGTTTATTCAACAACTATCTGAAGGCGCCACATGACAAGTAATTCACAATGGAAAGCTCAGTAATGCCTTTGAAGTGAAGACAGGAGTAAGACAAAGCTGTCTACTATCACCCATGATCTTCCTGATTGTGGTCGACTGGACTGGATCATGCGACAAACCGTGAGGAATGAGAAGAAGGGCATATGCTAGACGGACCGGGGAAAATATCCTGGAAGATTTGGATCTCGCCGATGACCTGTGTCTAGTGTGGCACAAACTCGAAGATCTGCAGGCGAAAACTAACAAGTTGACAGAAGAGGCAGGTCAGCGAAGGAAGACGGAACTTCAAGTGAATATAGAGAAGGTGGAGGTGATGAAGATACCCAGCCAACACCAACACCACCACCAACAACAAGCTCCAATCTCCATCAACGGGAGAAAAGTTAAAGGAAGTAGCCTCTTCCACCTATCTAGGCAGGGCAGCATCGTTTCAGTTACAGACAGTGGTGGTGGCACAGACGAGGACGTCAAAGCAGCCAGGATAGAAAAGACAGTAAGACAGGCTTTCACTAAACTGAAATCAGTGTGGAGATCTTCTGCACTGCACTCAGCATAAGGCGTGAACAACATCCGGATTTTCAAAACTAATTCGGTCAATTCAGTGCTTCTACGTGATGGTTGAGAGACTTGGCGCGTCACGAAAGGGATTTCCAACAAACTACAGGTATTCATCAACAGCTGTCTACGCTGGCTCAATACTGAAGATCAGATGGCCAGAAAGAATAAACAACTAGGAACTCTGACTGGCTGTCTGGCTGGTAACGAATCAACCAGAAACCTATCGCTTAACAAATATGCAGAAGGAAGTGGAGATGGATTGGGCATACACTGTGAAGACCATTCGGGGATATCACTCACCCGTACAGGCACTCGAGTGGAACCTAGATGGGAAACGATGAGTTGGGCGTTGGAGGTGAGGGTGACATGGAGGAGATGGTGTGAGGAAAGAATGTGAGCTTATGGGCTGTCGTGGAGCGAGGTCGAAAAGATTGCAGAGAAGAGAGCGGAACGGAGACTTGCTAGTGAGACCCTATGTTCTTCTATGAACCCAAAGGGTAAACAATAATAATAATATAGTCATATGAAGACAGGTAGTTTGCTCAAGTCATACATGTAGTGACAGCAGGTGTAATAAGAAATTTTACGGCCAACTATGTTACCAACCCGTACTAGTAGTCCGATTCGACTACTTGTTCTCATTTCATCTACAATTATCACTACACATCAGAAATCTTACTTTCTTCAACCTTTTTGCCTCATATAATAATATACTTTGTTAACATGTAGCAAGATTACAACAAAAGAACAGATGACCAAAGAGGTGCTCACAGTTAATAAGTAAAGTAATAAGTTTGTAGAAGTATAAATGAATATCACCTCAATGTTATTCTTCAACTTCCATCATTACTTAGTTAACGTTAGGCCAGGTTACGGAAAACGTTTTCCAGCTTCTGGTATTTATTTGCTGCCTATCAGTCAAATTCTGACTCCCATTGAATAGTTAGTGCTTGTGTAATCAAAATGAAACCTCCGAAACCTAGCTTGTTTACCTGATTAGGCGAGTAGAAAAAGTGATAACGTTTCAGATTGAATTTTAAACGGCCAGTCAGCTTCGATTTATTACATTTGACGGTGATTTATTCAGACTTTCTTGTTTTAAACCATTATTACGGTGAAATTTTCATTGAGTAATGATGGATTTCGGCTAGCAGTGGAATCCAGAATAGGTGTTTCCTCCTATTTTGGACTTGTCATCTGAATGTACCTGCCTCCCATTGACTGATGTTGTTCCCACCGGGATTCGAACTCACTGGGAAGCAGGTAGATCCAGCTGATGATTCCCAAATAGGACAAAACGCACATCCTGCATCCCATTACTAGCCGCTATCCATCATTACTATATCATTAAAAACACAGGTAATATCAAGGCATTCGTGCGGGAGCCCATATGTCAATAGAGACCGATCAATTTGGTCTAATCAACGACGGTATAATACAAGCAATAACGCTGAAATTCTCATGCGTCTAAAAGTTTCCAAGTATTTAAGGATTAACAGCAGCTAATCTATTTATGTAATAACTTTCGCATAACTATCACGTCTACGACTATGTCGTTATATCTGTAGGATACACCAACGGTTTGTTACCCGTTGCTCTGAACTGATACATCTCACTCATAGTCTATCACTCTACATAACAAGGTTATTAAATCTGTTTAACTAATACGAACTAGTGTTATCATATCTCCTTGAATAAGCTAATTTTAACCACAATGATACTACTGTGGCATGAAATGGACGTGAAGGAGATAAACACTGAAAAATCCACGTGGGATCGGACACAGAAAAAGGATCGCTTCAAATTGCCACACTTAACAGTCGCATGCAAAGAAGAAGAGGATAGGTGAAGGTTGAAGAAAACTGTATCGATTTTCGGCATTCTGAGTACTCTTCAACCATGTCACCAAGAGCATGTCGTGTTGAGGACCCCAGTCGGACAGCTTACATCTAACTCAACATATCAGATCGACAGTCAAAAGTTTTATGGATTCCTATCACTTCTTGGTGTGACCACTCTTAGCCTTCTTCTTTCAACTCATTTCATTTCGGTTATCATTTAACGCTGATTTGCGTTGATATTCAAAACACACTTCTAAGCCGGTTCAGTAGATGAAGGTACACACATTCATCAAGTGACTTAACTCCTTTCCTTAGCAGTCTGCACCCAAACTCGACTGCGCTCATACAGTGATTTCATTTAAAGTGAACAATACCACGTAGACATTTGTGGTCAAAGACTTGCAGCCTATTAATATCTTCTACTTTTAAGGAGCATATCTCTACCGCGCAACAGGAAGCAGCAACATGTTCCACACTATACTCATCCACTACTTGATAGTTGGGTATCTTGCCAGCGCCACAAATGACGTCAGCAAATGATTAGCTGAGATTTCGTCAGCAATCAACTCGTTTGGATTGGTACAACTCTCAAGTAAGTGAAGTGGTGATATATGCGTGTATATTTTCTTAAAATACCAGAATTATATTAAAACGTACTTTTATAATGATTAAATCGAACTTGGCGCTTAAATTCTTCCTGGAAATTCATAACAACTATGGACTGGATATTTATAATATGAACCTTCAAAAAGTGTATGATTTAAATAATTCAGTGAATCAGTTAAACATCGTATGAACTTACGAATCATCTTCAATTTTTATACAAACATTATCTTCTATATGATATGGATTCTTTAGTTGATATTCAAAAAATTCTGTACAACCAAAACTTGTGTATAAATCATGTTCAATTGTTGAAGCATTATTAATCATGAATTCAATTAATTCACGTTTTTTCTGCTCTCTATAATGATTAATGGTATCCAGTTGTAATTTCTTTTCCGTTAATAAATTCTATAAAACAAATGTTCAATATTCAACTTGAATAATATGTAGTTTAAAGTTGTGGGCGCGGAAAATAAAGGGTAACGTTACATAGGTTTTAAGCAAAACTACGTATAAATTTCAGCTAATAAGGATAAATTTTATTTTGATATAAACTTACATCTTTTGTAAGATTATTTTCATATTATGCATATTTTCATTGAACAAGACTCATCCTCTCAAAGTGTTAAAGTATTTCAACCGATACACGTTTTCACCACTGATAGTGCTGCTCGTGTTATTGACTTTTCGGAAGGAATCACACCAAGAAATTCAAGGTTTCTCTGGCTTATTGTGTGAGATACTCAAGGTGAATCTATACTGTAAGTTGGGCTGGAAGTCACGAATATCGTTCATTATTTCATATAAATGATGTATATTATTTTAAAAATACTGTTCTCCTGCAGTGAGAACAACTCTTGATGAAAGACTTAACTATAAAAACTTCATCAGAAGTAATTTGGTAGCTGCTTTAACACTACGGTTTTAGTGCCACAAACCTTAATCAACCTAATTCAACAGCTATGTGTTATATGATGCTACATGCCAAGTGATTCACAATGGAAAGCTCAGTGGTGTCTTTGAAGTGAAGACAGGAGTATGACAAGGTTGCTGCCTACTATCATCGATGATTTTCCTGGTTGTGATGGACTGGATCATGCAACAAACTGTAAGGAGTGAGAAGATGGGCATACGATGTTTAACAGATAAATAGACCCTAGAAGATTTAGATTTCGCCGATGATTTATGTCTGATGTCGCACAAACTCGATGATCTATGGGTGAAAAACCAATAAGTTGACAGAAAAGGAAGGCAGCGAAGACGGGACTTCCTTCTGGTGAACGTAAAGAAGACAGAGATGATGAAGATACCCAACCAACAACAACGAGAACCAATCACCATCAAGGGGAGAAATCTTAAGACAGTTGGCTCTTTCACCTACCTGCCTAAACACCACAGTGTCAACTGCAGGCGGTGGCACCACAAATCACGATGTCAAAGCCAGGACCGGAAAGACAGCAAGGCAGGCCTTCATTTACCAATCTGAAATCAATGTGGAGATCTACCGCACTGCACGCCACTGCAGTCAGCATAAAGCGTGAACAACATCCTGATTCTCAACACTAATTCAGTCAAGTAAGTCAGTGCTTACATGTGATGGTTGGGAGACTTGGCGGCGTGTCACGAAAAGCATTTCCAACAAACTGGAGATACACACCACATCAACAGCTGCAGCCTTCCCTCACTCGATACTGACACTGAAGATCAGATGACCAGAATAATAAGAATAAGCAGGGAACAAGGAACTGTGACTGGCTGGCTGGCTGGCTGGCTGGCTGGCTGGCTGGCTGGCAACTAATCAACCAGGAACCTATCGCCCAACAAATATGCTGTGGAAGAGAGTGGTGATGGATTCCATTGGATTTGGCATACATGGAGAAGACCGTTTGGGGAATCATGTGCCAGGCCCTTGAGAGTAGCCCGTATGGGAGACGACGAGTTGGGCATCCGAAGTGATGGTGATATGGAGTAGATGGTATGAGGAAGAAATGAAAGCTTCTGGGTAGTTGTGGAGCTAGGTTGAAAGACTGCAGATAAGAGAGTGAAATGGCGATGTGCTACTAAATCCCTATGTTCCACTAGGAACCCAGGGGATAGATAATAATAATAATAAAATGGAAACTTCATTATACAATAAGATTTCAATTGAACTTCATGAATTTCTTCCTTGAGTCGTTGTATATTACCGTAGCATATATTAATTTAAAAACATTCGAAGTAGATTTCATATTCGTTAGAATGATTCAAAGAGGAAATCAGTCAAAAACTGTTACTTAGATTAAAAGATCAAATATTTAGACCGACTGATCCATATAACTGGTATGCGATTTCATTAAGTCCAGTGATTGATTTGATTATCTATTTTGCCTACTTTATCGTTAACAAGAAGAAGGCATGTATCAGCGAAGAAATATCTCTTTGCAATGACTTCATCATTATCAAGCTGTACAGTCGTATTTACACTCAGTAAAGTGACAGATAATTTCTCAGTCACTATGCAAAATATACAATCGGTGTAGGTGGTGGTATTTCTTCAAGTGGAAGAGATAGAAAATGGGTCACTGTGAATAAGGAGGAACGAATTGATGACAAGTGGTGAGATAAGAGACAAGTGTTGTCAAAGAATTGTAAAATGGTGATAACTAAGCTGAAACGTGTAAAATAGGTGAATGAATAAGGAATGAATTGATATTAAATGGTGAAATATGGGTCAAGTGTTGTCAATGAAGTGAAAATTGGTGATAATGATGATGATAATAGAAGAGAAGTATACCAAAGTGAAGTGAACTGGAATTTACAAAATCAATAAAATAGGAATTGTTAAGGCCAAGATAGAGAAAGTGGTTTCACAAGACGTTTTTTCAATGCAAAGTTTCGGTTTTTGTTTACATATAGCTAATGCTTCAGCTATGCACAAGTGGTGGAAACGTAAACCTTTGCAGTAGTTCAATTTAACTTTGTAAATTAAATTAAAGGATGAATCTCGAGGTACTGAGTGACCCAAATCAATAAGGTGTTCACATATGGATGAAGTCGTTTTCCTTTGCTCGCCTCTGGTAAACCAAACTGGGTAGTGTTCAGCAACACGTTTTCAGAGGGCCCACTTACAACGTCCAATAAAGTCAGCTCCACAGGAGCATGTGAACTTGTATATGCACATAGATGTGGACATGAGTGGAAGCCTATCCTTCACGCATTGACGAATCAGACGGCAGCTGTAGAATATCCATCTCAGTCTAGCAGCATAGAAGCTACTATTGATACATCTTTATTGTTATAGGTATCATTTCTTCTTGATGGTATTGTGTTTTCTAAGCTAGATGGTTTAATTGTGAGGTTTTTAGTATCATTCTAGATAATTTGCTGAACAAAAATGTTACATATTGCCAGTTAAGCTTACTTACTTGAAAACAGTCTATCTAAACATATTTGTTACAACAGAACTATACATTTTTGATGTTTTAAGTTGTAAGCAGTTAACAAGATACCATTTACAGAAAACAGATCCATTTTATATGGGTCAAATTGTTAACTTTGTCTATTTTTCAAACCTACTATTTCAGTGTGTATCAGTGTAATGATTTCAAAGTAATCTGAAATATTCTCTTTGTATAGTAATGATGGATAGTGGCCAGCAGTGGCATCCAAGATGTGTATTTTGTCCTATTTGGGACTCGTCAGCTAGATATACCTGCCTCTCAGTGAATAATGTTCTCCCCACTGGGATTCGGACTCGAGAGCGATCGCTTCACACTCCAAAGCGTTATCCATTATACCACTGAACCACAATATCCACTTCTAGTGCGACAGGTATAGGTTTAGTGTTATCAGTTGTATTACACCGTTGTTGATTGGACCGAATTGATCAGTCTCTGTTGGCATATAAACTCTTAGGCAAATGCCTCGATATTGCCTGTGTTTGAATTATATATATAGTAATAATGGGTAGTGGCTAGCAGTGAAATCCAAAATGATCATTTCGTCCTGTAAACAAGAACACTATTCTCTTAGTAGTTTATAATATGTTATTGGTGTAAATGCTAACAATTATCTTTACACTATTTGGCTATCAAAAACTTACGTTTATATTGAATATTTTCGATGATACTTTTTCATTATATACATTTGATGAACCTTGAATCGCTTTTAATGATCTATGTAAACGTTCCAGTTTTTCTTGTCTTATCATTTCATCTTGATAAGATAGTTTTTTCATTCTATTTTCATTATTTATTAATTTCATTGATGTTATACTTGTTGGTATTCTTTTTTCTGATGATAAATTAATCAATTTTAACATTTCTTGTAGTTCATTATTAGTTGATTTGATTTTATACGCTCGAATTATAAGACCTGTTGAATTCATATTTACTTCTTTTTGTTTCATTAAATTCAAATTTGAAAGAGCGCCTCCTTTAAATCTTAAATAAGTTAAAACAAAGCTCATAGTTTCATTTGAGCACTAAGTAAAAGGTTAATATTACATATAGTTTGTGTTTGTATAAGTTATAGCATGTGAAAAATGTAATAATTTTAATGTTTCATACAGAATTTTAATCTGAGTTTCTTTTTTTCATTTCTCTGAAAAAGCTTGAACTAAACTTCCGTGCGAAACATTGAAATTGTTTTATTTCAAACACGTTGTAGCTTACACAAGTATAAATTATATCTCATATCAAATTCATGGTTTTAATTGATTATTACATGTAACATTGAACAAAATTTTGTTTAAAAAACAAAGCAATGTCGTAACGTAGCAATATGCTGTTTTTTCAAAGAGGCTTTTTAATTTATCACTTTAATAAATATTATTTATTCATTAGCCGTGGTTATATTAGATGAATACAGATCTACGGCACTGCACTCAACTCAGAATAAACAGTAAATAACATCCTGATTCTCAACATTAATTCAGTCAAGTAAGTCAGTGCTTACATGTGATGGTTGAGAGACTTGACGGCGTGTCACGAAAAGCATGTCCAACAAACTGAAGATACACACCACATCAATAGCTGCAGCCTTCGCTCACTCGATACTGACACTGAAGATCAGATGACCAGAATAATAAGAATAAACAAGGAACAAGGAACTGTGACTGGCTGGCTGGCTGGCTGGCTGGCTGGCTGGCTGGCTGGCTGGCTGGCTGGCTGGCTGGCTGGCTGGCTGGCTGGCTGGCTGGCTGGCTGGCTGGCTGGCTGGCTGGCTGGCTGGCTGGCTGGCTGGCTGGCTGGCTGGCTGGCTGGCTGGCTGGCTGGCTGGCTGGCTGGTAAAACACTATGGTATATTTCTGTCAACATATGATGCATGTATATAGAAACTGGAATATGAAGTCTGTATATATAATAAGGTTACCAGTAATGTGATTTCTTTTCAGCTCAGTAGAACTTGTGGTCTGTAACTACAAGCATAAGTAGATTTTTCAGTCAGTTGAATGAAGTCTGAGTTTTTTTAGAGACTAAAAGTTGTTAAGTTTTGAAAAACAATGTGTAACCAGTTGAAAGTTTGTATATTTTCAATAATCTTCATTTGTTTTATACTTTCCTCTTTCTATACACTTTTGTCTGCTTTTATTTTCCCCTCCACTGTCTATTCAATGTGTTCTTTGAATGGTGCTATGTTGTACTGTAACTGGTGGACTTCAATGAGAGGCTCTAGGTTTATTTTTCTGTCTTTAACTCTGTCTATCTCACTCTGTGATGTGAAACTATCGGCAATCATGCTTTATTCCTTGAAATGTATACATTTTGATTTCATCGTGTTTTAACTAACTTTTTGGGTATTGTAGGGCCTCAAGAAAATAATGTTTAAGACAATATAGCTCATTTCAGTAGTTACGTAAACTATCAACTAACTTGAGTGCAGTGACCGACTTGTAGTACATATTTCGGTATGTATAAATGACTTTAAACTCAAACTGTACTAATAAAATTAATTTTTATGTATTTCAGTCATTATTTTCTTTTACTGTTACACTGAAGATTTAAAACCATATATTATTATTATACTTTTATTTGTCCCTTGGGTTTCTAGTGGAACATAAAGCTTCAGTAGCACATCTCCACTCCACTCTGTTCTCTACAATCTTTTCAACCTGACTCCACAACTGCCCACAAGCTCTCATTTCTTCCTCACATCATCTCATCCATGTCACCCTCAGCACCTACACCCAACTCGTCGTTTCCCCTCTGCGTTCCACTCAAATGCTGGCTGGGTGAATGATGTCCCCTAATGGTCTTCTCACTGCATGCTCAGTCCATCTCCACTTCCTTCTGCATATTTATTGAGCGATAGGTTCTTGGTTGGTTCGTTACCAGCCAGACAGCCAGAGTTCATTGTTATTTATTCTTTCTGGCCATCTGATCTTCAGTGTCAGTAACGAGCCAGCATAGGCAGTTGTTGATAAGTGTTTGTAGTTTGTTGGAAATGCTTTCCGTAACGCGAACGTCTAGTGCTATCGCCAGATTGATGTAAACGCGGGTTTTTATCTAGGGGAGTTAGTGAAACCTGATTCCCTATTAGTGGGATACATGGGCTCCACGATCCAGAACGACTGAATGTGTATGAATTAGCCTCCTTCATGAAAGTGCAGTTACTTACATTGCTGCTTTGTTTTGTAGATCCGACTTCAAACCAGTCACAGAGTGTAGGACATTTAGGCAAGCACCTAATTCTCTCTGGGTTCATGGACAGTATAATCAATCAATCAACCAATATCAACACAGGACCAGGCATTACTGCATACCGGTCCAACTTGCCACACCTCGTGTCAATACATCAAGTAAAAACGCAAAGAAGTGGAAGATGAAGATGAGAGAATGTAGTCAAAAGAAATATTAGGTACGAGAAGAAAGAAAAGAGGAGTGACAAAATGGTGAGATTCGGTATAGTGTAGTTAAGATGAGGATAATGTGTGTATACATCTGCGCTACTGACATCGGTTCTTAGCCATGCCATCACCTAGAGTCTCCAACCACTGAATTCTCTTGTCCCGCAGACCCCAACCACCCAGTCCGCATCGCCCCACATGGCTCAAACCAATAGTCAGAGACTTCATACATTGGTGCCACGTTTTAGTTTGGCCACCTCGGGCCTTTTACCAGCCTGGACATACTTCGGCCAACATTGTGTGACGAGGCAATCAGCGACTAGGCATACGTAGTACGTGTCCCACCCATCTCAATCGATGAAGGTTCATAACCTCGTCAACTGATTTACCTCTACTTCCTAAAACTCTACTCCTGACTTCTGCGTCACTCATGTGGTGACACCATGGAATACGACCTATACTACGAAGGCAACGGTGGTCAAACACTTGAAGCTTTCTAATATCTTCCACCTTTAGTGGTCATGTTTCACAGCCATACAGGAGAACAGAGCGGACTGATGTGCAGGTGCAGTATACGCGACCCTTAATAGTGTTCGACACACTCAACAACTTCACTCTCTATTGTTAGCCACGGCACCGCTAAAGACCAGTCCTGAAGCAACAACTTGCATTTGAGTAGTGAGAACCGCATCCCAAACATTCTCAAATTCCCACTCAAAGTTTCAGAAGACTCTCCATCTTGTCAGCGTCTTCACTTAACAGGACTATGTCACCTGCATATTCTAGGTCTAACGAAAATTCTCCTGTGATCAGGTCAACGTCTGTGTAGCCTGGTGACGAGAGGGAGACCTCTATAAGAATATCTATGATGAAATTGAATAAGAAAGAAGACAGTGGGCATCTTTGACGGACACCACTCGATGAGCATAGCTCCCTGGACAACTCGCATAGGCTCTAACATTCCTACAAGTGTTCTAGTAAAGAGCTTTCAATAACGTGATGCACTTACTCGGCACGCCTTTCAGTGAGAGACATTGAGACAGTATAATGCCTAAGTCCAATTCATGAGTCAACAATAACAATAATGACTTCAAAATGTTTATCAAACCTTATAGCAAGAAGTCTAACTTACGCTTTTAGAAGCTTTATACTGAACTACTTGGTTTATTATCACATGATAGTTGTTATTATTTCCATGTATTAACTGCATTGTCTTTGTCATTATTGTAAAAATTTATCTTTCTTTTACTCAGCTTTTCATTGCTGATTAAAATTCTGATGTGCTTTTACTATCTTGAGCCTCTGGACAGACGCCTATAGAAAGCTTTCATTTACAACGATATCTGACTCAAATACTCTTAAGCTGGACACCTTCGAATTTCAAATATTAACCTATATTATCACTATTATTTGTCCTTTGGGTTCCTGGTGGAACATAGGATTAGTAGCACGTCAACATTTCATTCTCTTCTCTGCAGTCTTTCAACCTAGCTCCACAACTACCCAGAAGCTTTCATTTCTTCCTCATACCATCTACTCCATGTCACCATCACTTCGGATGCCCAACTCGTCGTCTCCCATACGGGTTCCTCTGAGAGCCTGGCATGTGATTCCCAAACGGTCTTCTCCATGTATGCCAAATCCAATGAAATCCATCACCACTCTCTTCCACTGCATATTTGTTGGGCGATAGGTTGCTGGTTGATTCGTTGCCACCAGCCAGCCAGCCAGTCACAGTTCCTTGTTCCTTGCTCATTCTTATTATTCTGGTCATCTGATCTTCAGTGTCAGTATCGAGTGAAGGAAGGCTGCAGCTGTTGATGTGGTGTGTATCTTCAGTTTGTTGGAAATGCTTTTCGTGACACGCCGCCAAGTCTCTCAACCATCACATGTAAGCACTGACTTACTTGACTGAATTAGTGTTGAGAATCAGGATGTTGTTTACGGTTTATTCTGACTGTTGAGTGCAGTGCGGTAGATCTCCACAATGGTTTCAGATCGATGAATGCAGGCCTGCCTTGTCGTCTTTCCGGTCCTGGCTTTGACACCGTGATCTGTGCCCCACCGCCTGTATTTGAAGCTTGTGTTTAGGCAGGTAGGTGAAAGAGCCAACTTTTTAGATTTCTCCCCTTGATGGTGATTGGTACTTGTTGTTGTCGTTGGTTGGTTGATGCATATTCGACAGCCGATAAGTTTGGCTGGGATTCTGATGAGCTTCATTGTTGATATTTGCTATATTTCAAAAACCTGTGTACAAAATCCTGGTGCTTCAAATAACTTCCCCATCTGGCAGCTGAAAATCTTCGTTTGCCGAACACTTATCTGGAACTCTGTAATATCGGTATTTTGTGTTGCTGGAATACTAAAGCCAAGGGTGCAATAATCGGCTAGATCCCCATCAACAATGGTCCGTGATCTGTTAGGCTAGAAAGTTTGATTGCAGTAAGAACGAAATAAGTGGCAACGTATGTGATATTTGTTCGTTGATGCTGGCCATCTGACGCAGCCTGGATGAAGTTGAGGATAAGTTCTACCATCAAACAAGTGACCTCTATCAGGTGAGTTCAACAGATACCATAGTACTTAAATGTGCAGATTGGGCATCTAGGTTCAAAGAAGTTCTGTTTAGATGACCGATGAGGATAAGCCGGTTACAGATCTGCTGAGGGAGAACGTGTTCTGCATCCTTGTACAGATCGAAACTTGTCTTTAGCCACCACAAACTTTCGAAACAGCCATTGCTATTGTACTACTTGAAGCATTCTCTCTGCCACTCAACCCTGGACTTGAATAAACCATATTGTAATTAACTGACGATGGCATGGGTGTATTAAAGAGTGCTCCTTCCTTTAAAGCACCTGTTTGAACTCTGATCACGCTTGAATGTGTGGTAAGTTCATCTTGCATTTCAACGGTCATCAAAATCGTCATCCTAAACAGTTAGAAGTAAACGAGCTGGTTGCAATAGTATCACAACTAAGTACCAAACCGAGCTTGATTCAAGGCTAACGATCAAACCTCCAGAAGTATAAATGAGCATTGGTTGCACCTACGAGACACCATGGAAACAGCGAGTAAAGCTCTTTTTGGCTCTAAAGAACGTTCAGCTAAAAAACAATGGGTCTGTGTGAGCTTCGTGCAACTCCTCGATACGCATCGGTATACTTCAGCAAGCACAGAGTAAAATGGAATGAGTATTTCACTTATTTGAGAAATCATCTAGCACTTATGTGCGAGCTATAGTACTGGTAGTTAAGAGTACCAAGTGAAACGGAGACACCAGCTGTATCTCATAGTAATAAAAAGATGTTCCAAGTCATCCAAATCGCAGTCAGTGAAACTGTTTTTGTCAGTGAACGGTTTGTGAGGTAGACAATAAGCCAATCCACAACTTTTGTAGATGCCTGGAGCGCCACGTGGTTCAGTTTGAAAAACGAATCAAATGGCCTAACACTCCATCAACATCAAATTTAGTGTTTTATGCTGCATAGTTGGTTAACGCTGATACACCAAATGGAGTGAATGTCTGTAGGGAATTCCTAGCATCCAACTAAGATAACTTAGACCTATCTTTTTTTATGGATGTAAGTAACACTATAGTCACGGAATTGACTACAATGTGTTGAGAAGGTATGGCGGTCAGTGTATGTATTCCACTAGTGTACACTATGAATTCATTCTCATAACCGTCTTTGGAAAGCGACTATGTAAAGTAAGTGATAATCATTAGGGTATCGGCCTACTACCGATAGCGTCTAAAATATTGGTTGCTATTTTACTCCACAGGTAACACGTATGGAAAGCCGATTCATAAGGAACAGGCCCAGAATCGTTCAGGTCATGCATACACCGTCACGCATATTAAAAGCCAACTGTCTTTGTATATTTCGATATTTGGTGCTGCTCCGGAATTGTCTGTTAGAGAGAAGTGTCCCTGCGGAGTTTTTCACCATCTTGGAAGCCCTATAATCTTCAAAACATCATGTAGAGTGATAACATTCAACCACCTCTCCACTTCGTTCTACACTAACGATCAACTTACGCAGAGCCGCTAGATTTCGCCATTTCTGTTGAATTTCCGATTAATGGTACTCTCAAGATAGCTCCGATGTAGGGTCATGGTGGTATTTATCAACACAGAGTGTCCGACCACCTTTGTCTATATAAGATTGCTTCCTTTTAATGAAAACACAATGTTAGCCAATTCAAGGTGAGATGGTGTGATGAAGATAGTCACTCACTGAGTGTGATAATCTTGAAACATTGACTTTGATGGTTTGAACAAGTGTTGCATTTCAGCAACACTCACACCAATGACTTTGCTGTACCTGGGATTAGTTAGAAGGATCAGAGATAGGTGATTAGTGTATGACGCGGCACAATGGGATGAAGAATAGCTGTGTTAGATTAGCGTATTTTAATGCTTCACAACTCCTAGGATGGCGTCAAAGACTCCATGCAACTAAGAGGCCTGAAAGATATCAGATATAGATGGGAATCGGAACCAGTGATTATGCAACATGCTTTTTGTACTTTATTCATTCCCGTAAATCAAAACAAGAAGTTCTTGGAATGTATATATTTGCGACTACTTCTTTAATAACCCTTTTCCATTTATATTTCTTTGCTAGTTTCCTCTTTCAATGTTTTATTTTTTCCATCTAACGTTGCTATATTATGGAGAATCGTTTTGTACGCATTATATCCTAATTTTGTGCTTGAATTAAATAAATCATGTCAGTTAGTTCACATTCGTGACATTCCCACTCTGACTACCACCGCGTCAGCTGACGTTTAGCAAAACCAGAAATGAAAGGTGTTAGGAAACTTTAAATATCTGGCTATAGATTTTGAAATATATACCCAAATATTCGGGTAAATATACTTGTATAATAATGAAGATACAAATGTAAAAATACTTACTTCCCTAAACATCCAGCATCACTTTCGTTAATCAGATACTTTTTTCGATTAGCATTTCTGACATTTATCTCCCTTGGTTCTTTACAATGTCCAACATTAGCAAGACGTAGGTGTAGACGACCTTGAATATCAGGTGGAATCATGGGACTAGGTTCATCATCAAATAAATCATTGTCATTTGATCGTAGAATGTCTGTAGAGTAAGTGACTTGAACTGCCTGACGACCTTGACGACAAAGATGCTGTTTCGAAGGTAAAAATAAATTACCAGATGAAACAAAATGATCTATTGAGAAGTAAAAAAAAGCATGTATTAGGCCCAGAAATGCATACTTCTTTTCAACTCTCATTCCACATAAATATGGCTCGACAGTTTGCCTAACTGTAGCTAACATTTTGATACTTTACCCTCTCCTATATTGTGGTTCACTTCATGTTTTCATTTTTGTTACTCTTCTTTCGAATTAAGACGATTTTCTCTATATCTGGAACAGGTGATAGGTCATTGTTGTTTTGCATATATTAGGTGCTGATTCGATAAACAAAGATATTCAGTTATCAATCTCTTCCTCCACCCTCCAGTGTTAGTTTTAAGAATTTTCACCCTGTCCTATCCTATTGTGTGGTTATATGTAATCGCATGCATAGCTATGGCTGAGCTTTTTTTCTAAATCTCTTACCTTACTAGAGTCTGTGCTGGGTGATGATTGAAGGTGAGGTGAAAATCTGGACCACGGCTGGATTGGAACCAGCGACCACCGGGTCTACTACTAGGATCTACCAATTTTGACCTAGCTATGACTATGGTCAACCATTTTAACCTCGCCTGGTTAACTAGTTTACTAGTTACTAGCCGGTCCTAAGCCCGGGTAAAGAGGGAAGGTTGGGCATAGGGCTAGCAACCCTACCCCGTAAAACAAATCTAACCGCTAAAGAAACTTCAAAGCACAAACAAAATATAAAAAATGAAAACAAACTTATTCCCCGCTGGAATCGGAGAGGCGAAATGACGCCAGTTGGTGAAAGCCTTCGGGAAGCCAATTGGCCGATGTGTCTTCTCTCGATGAAAGCGAAAGTAAACGTGGGGACATGGAATGTCCGCACGATGTTTGAACCCAGTAAGGCAGCCCAGATTGCAAAGGAGATGAGAAGGTATAACATCGAAGTGCTTGGGATTTGCGAAAGCAGATGGAATGGGAGTGGACTCTCCAAACTGTCAACTGGAGAATCAATAATCTACTCCGGTCACCCAGACGCCAACCACGAGCACACTGAGGGAGTGGCTATCATGATGTCCTCAAGAGCATCGAAGGCTCTCATGCAGTGGGAACCAATCTCCTCCAGGATCATGACAGCAAGATTCAACTCAAAAGGAAGAAAGGTCACAATCATACAATGTTATGCACCTACAAATAATGCAGAGCAAGAGAAAAAGGAGGAATTCTACAGACAACTTCAATCAACACTGGACAAGACGTCAGTTGGCGATATCAAAATTCTAATGGGCGACATGAATGCCAAACTGGGAGGGGACAACACGGGAAGAGAACTAACCATGGGTCGAGAGGCGCTAGGTGAAATGAATGAGAATGGAGAATTGTTTACAGAATTCTGTGCATTCAACGATTTGGTGATTGGAGGCAGTGTGTTCAGGCACAAGGATATCCACAAAGCGACATGGATTTCACCAGATGGACACACTAAAAATCAAATCGACTTTATCTCAATCTCAAGAAAATGGAGACGCAGTCTACTTAACACAAGGTCAAGAAGAGGAGCAGATGTAGGTTCAGACCACTATCTAGTGCAAGGAACCTTCCAAATCAAGTTAAAAGCCTTCAAGGAAGCTGGTGATAGACCTCAATTCAAGTACAACACTCGGAAACTGAAGGATGAAACTACAAAGGAGATCTTCAAAGCAGCCATCAAGACAAAATGGGAGATATCGAGGAACATCCCTGAAGAAACCTGTGTGGAAGAACACCGGAAGTCTTTGAAAGCTATGTGGAAAGAAACCTGCACAACAGTATTAGGAAGGAAGAAGAAAGAAGACAAGGAATGGATCTCGACGGATACCTGGAAGCTGATAGAGGAGAGGAGGATGGTGAAGCAGAAGATAAACCAGTGCAAGGATGCTCAACGACAAGAGGAACTGAGCACAATGTATAAAACACTGAACAAAGAAGTGAAGAAGAGTGCACGCAAAGACAAAAGACACTTCTACGAAACACTGGCAAGTGAAGCAGAACAGGCTGCAGGTAAGAGAGATCTGACGACATTGTATCAAATAACCAGGTTGCTATCAGGGAAGAGACCAACACAGATGAAACCAATAAAAGACGAAGAAGGAAATTTAATTACAAAAGAAGAGAAACAAAGGAAACGATGGGCCGACCACTTCAAGAAGCTCTTGAATCGACCACCACCTGCACTTCGTCCAGAAATACCACCTGCAGCCGCTGAATTACAAGTGAACATAAATCCCCCAACGAAAATGGAAGTCCTGAACGCCATAAAGCTACTGAAATGTGGGAAAGCAGCAGGACCAGATGGAATCCCGCCAGAAGCACTGAGAACAGATGCAGAGACAACAGCGGACATGCTCACACCACTATTACAGAAGGTGTGGAAGGAAGAGAAGGTACCTGCCAATTGGAAGAAGGGTTACCTTGTCAAACTGCCGAAGAAGGGAGACCTCAGTGCTTGCAAGAACTGGCGCGGAATCACTCTCCTGTCCACCCCAAGTAAAATATTAAGCCGCATCATCCTGGAGAGGCTTAAAGATGCACTGGATTCAAAACTGCGACCGGAACAGGCAGGCTTCAGGAAGTACAAATCATGTGCAGACCAAATTGCAACGCTTCGTATCATCATAGAACAGAGCATAGAATGGCAATCAGCTCTCCACCTCAACTTCATCGACTTGAGAAGGCCTTTGACAGCGTCGACCGAGAAGTAATTTGGAAACTGCTTCAATACTACGGAGTACCGCAAACCTTTATCCGCCTCATTCAACAACTATATGAAGATGCCACATGCCAAGTAATCCACAATGGGAAGCTCAGTGATGCCTTTGAAGTGAAGACAGGAGTGAAACAAGGTTGCCTACTATCCCCCATGATATTCCTGATTGTGGTGGACTGGATCATGCAGCAAACAGTAGGCAGCGAGAAGAGGGGGATACACTGGACGACGGAAAAGAACCTAGAAGACTTGGATTTCGCCGATGACTTATGCCTAATGTCACATAAACTTGAAGATCTGCAGGCAAAAACTAACAAGTTGACAGAAGAGGCAGCTAAGACGGGACTTCAGGTGAATATAGAGAAGACAGAAGTGATGAAGATACCGCACCACCACCATCAACAACAACAACAAACTCCAATCACCATCAACGGGAGAAACTTGAAGGAAGTAACCTCCTTCACTTATCTAGGAAGCACTGTTTCAACTACAGGCGGGACGGACGAGGACGTCAAAGTCAGAATCGGAAAAGCAAGACAGGCGTTCATTAGCCTGAAACCAGTGTGGAGATCTTCTGCACTCAGCATGCGGAACAAGATACGGATTTTCAACACCAACGTCAAGTCAGTGCTCTTGTATGGCTCAGAGACTTGGCGCGTCACGAAAGGCATTTCCAATAAACTACAGACATTCATCAACAACTGCTTACGCTCGCTGCTGAAGATCAGATGGCCAGAAAAAATAAGCAACAAGGAACTCTGGGAACGAACCAACCAAGAACCTATCACGCAACAAATATGCAGGAAGAAGTGGAGATGGATTGGGCATGCACTGAGAAGGCCGACTGAGGACATCACGCGTCAGGCCCTCGAGTGGAATCCCCATGGGAAGCGACGAGTTGGACGTCCGAGGGTGACATGGAGGAGGTCGTGCGAGGAGGAAATGAGAGCTTCTGGGCTGTCGTGGAACCAGGTTCAAAAGATCTCAGAGAACAGAGGTCACTGGAGGCGTGCTACTGAAGCCCTATGTTCCACTAGGAACCCAAGGGACTAATAATAATAATAATAATAATAATAATAATAATAATATAATAATGGTCGACCATTTTAACTGACCTATGTATTTGACGTCGTAATCGTTGCAGGAGTTTCAGTTAACTAAAAAAGCACCAAAACCTAGCTAGGTCAAAATTGGTAGATCCTAGTGAGATAAGGAATTTATAAAATAGCTTGGGCATAGGTATGCATGCGATTACACACAACCACACAATAGGATGGGATAGAATGAAAATCCTCAAAACTAACATGGTAGGGTGGAGGGAAAGTTGGTAACTGAATCTTTCTTACATTATTATAGGAGTAAAAGTTGGGCATTGTGGTAGATTGCAATCCCATTCCAGTCTGCTTATTAGAAATGTCACACAGTAAAACAGTATCACTTACTGGACAACGTTTTGGACACAATTTATTGTCTATATTCACACAATGAATCTTTGTTTATCGAATCAATTTCAAATAGGAATGAGTTAGCACCTGTTTGAGGTATATGGAAATGTGTACCACCCTTATCAGAAAAAATGAGAAATAATCAGAACTAAATAAGCCATGTCTCAAAGTCTCAGAGTTATCTTGATAAGACAATGGACAATATATTGCTTCCGAAACGTAATCCAGTAAATAATGCTGTTCCACTGTGTGATACATCTATCTAATCAACAAAATAAAATGGAGTTTCATTCTACTTGATGGCTCTTATATTTTCAGTAACTTTTTCCTCAAGATTACAGTAATGTCCACATTTTGATGACACTGTGTTCTTTCTTAGCTGGATAGCTTTATTGTACAGCTTTCATTATCATTCAAGACAACATCATCAGCAAAATATAAGTATAAAACTTGGGCATTGTGGTCGGTTGCAATTCCATTTTGGTCTGTTTATTCGAAATATTACACAGTGAAACAGTAGCATTTACTGGATAACGTTTTGGATACAATTAATTTATTGTTCATATTCATATCACGTAACTCCACAACTTTCAAACAGTCTTTATATATTCCTAGTTTTCTCTCCTTCCCTATGATGCTGCATCTATCCCAGATATATGGAAAATTCTACTACTCTTGTCATCACAGAGAAGGCAAGATAACTAGGAATATATGAAGACTTTCTCGAAGTTGTATAGTTTCATTGCATCATTCCAATGTCTATATTGTCCAACCAAGGAATGAACACATTGGGACTAACAACAGTGAGAATAAACAGTCTGAGAATAGACTTTAGACAAGATTTATGTGAAAGTCAGTGTTAGAGTCAAATATTACTGGGATTTAATTCCAAAAATAATCATTTATATAGATGATATTATGTCTTTTGTAGTTAAAATCAATCATCGCAAAAGTCTGTTATTCACAGAAAATGATTATTATTGACAATGAAATTTATTTCAAGTTGTTATTCATCGTAGACTGACATCAGTTGAAGGAACAATAGAAACCTGGGAGCACTGGACAGCTGTCTCGTCCTAGTGTGGGACTCTTCAGCAGTGCCCACCCAAGACCCCGCCAGGGATGGAACCCGCGACCTTCAGGTTCCGTGGCCAGCACGTTACCATTGAGCCACTGGGTCAGAATCTAATGGTCCATATTTCCAACTTCTGTTAGCTCAAAAACACTACGTAGAATTCTCAAGAAGGCTGCGATTAGAATGGCATTTAAACCTACAAACTCACTTGAAAATAAGCTCTGTAGATTAAAAGATCCTGCTGACCCAATTTTAGCAGATTAACTTAGTTTACCAAAACACTTGCAACGATTGCAAGGTCAACTACATAAGTCAAAGTAGTCGACCAGGGTCAATTAGGCTATCCGAACACAAAAACCTATCTAGGTCAAAATTGGTATATCCTAGTAAGGTAAGGAATTTGGAAAAATGCTCAGCCATAGTTATCCATACAATCACACAATAGGATAGGACAGGTTTAAAATCCTTAAAACTAACACAGGGAGATTGATGACTGAATATCTTTCTTTGTTTATCGAATCAACCAACACCTAATACATGAAACAGGAATGACTCAGCACCTGTTCCGGATATATGGAAAATCTCACTACCCATCTCACAAAGAGACGAGGAAATTAGTACCATATAAAGGATATCTGAAAGTTGTGTAGTTATCTTGACATGACTGTGGACAATAAATTATGTTCGAGACGTAATCCAGTAAACAATACTGTTCCTTCACTGTGTGATAAATCTAATAACTCAATAAAAATGGAATTACATTCTACCACAGTGTACAAGTTTTACTCTTATAATCCTATTATACATTACTTAATTGATTTACCCCTTTTATCATTTTTTCTACTCCATTCTGAGTTATATACTTTCTACGAACCATTCCACATATTTCGTAATCTACTTTGTTATCATTCACACTTCAATTATTATCATAATCACAAGTCCCGATGTTATCATCATCATATAGTGTTTAGTTATCTTCACAGGATATAATTTTTCAAATATCATATATATATATATATATATATATATATATATATATATATATATACGATTGTACAGCTTGAAAATAAATTCGTTAGAAAGATTAGTCTAGCTAAATTGGTTACTACGTTTCATTATGACAAACGATACATTAATCAACCAACATAACATAATCAGGTGAGTTTCTGACCAAATCGAAGAAACATTATTTAGATCCTAGCTCCATGCTAGATCATAGAATACAGAAATCATTACTGAAAACTAAACTCCATGAACCAACCAAGAACCTATCACTGAACAAATATGCAGAAGGAAGTGGAGATGGATTGGGCATACACTGAGAAGGCCGACTGAGGACATCACGCATCAGGCCAGTCCCTCGAGTGGAATCCCCAGGGGAAGCGATAAGTTGGACGTTGGTGTCGAGGGTGACATGGAGGAGGTCGTGTGAGGAGGAAATGAGAGCTTCTGGGCTGTCGTGGAGCCAGGTTGAAAAGATCTCAGAGAACAGAGTGGAATGGAGACGTGCTACTGAAGCCCTATGTTCCATTAGGAACCCAAGGGACTAATAATAATAATAATAATAATAAACTCCATGTTTAATTGAGTCAATTGAAACATTCTGTACAAGTGTTTCTTACTCGAGGACATTTTTTATGATGATTAATTTATAAATGTATACATTTTACCATCTCTGCTAATATTTTTTACCGATGAATAGTTTTTCATCAACTTAACTGTGATTTTAACAGTTTCTGTTGGAAACTACCCCCTCTAAATTCAAGATCACAACATACGACACAAAATTGTCATGAACTAGTGAAATATTCTACTCAACAATAAGAGTATTTAATCATCACTTATGTTAGACAGATTAAAGTAAATTGAATTATCCAAATTAGCCAACTAAAGTGAGCAGGTTTAAACAATTCGGCTCTATGAGTTCACTTTGTTCGGTTCAGCAACTGATAAGCTCAACCGCAAATGAACGAAACAATTGCCTGATGTTTAGATCAGTCTGATCTGGTTTGTGAGATCTGTAAATCAGTCCAAGGAGATTCTAACTCCTCCTTTTGCTCAATGATACACTTCAAGATATATTTTGCTTTGAAAACTTCATTTTCAAAGTATTTAGTCACGTTGGTAGTGAGCTGTACGCCTAGTAGCCTGCTTATCTGAAGATTCCTATTTCTGTTTAAATGAGTCATTAAGGTATTTATTACTTCCATGTATTTTTAATTCACAAGGATCAGAGTCGTCAGCATTTCTTGAACTGACTAACATTGATTAGATTACCTTTTTTTCGAAGTAAAGTAGTTAAATAAGGTAAAAAAAATATTTAACCACCCTGAATTTATATAGTATTGCTGTTAGTTAAGAAAAGCACTATTTAAACTGTAAACACTTCAGGTTTAGACTATCGGATAAATAAGATGAACCAGTGAAGAAAGCCGACAACTTTCACTGTTCAAAATGACTTAGACTTGTGTTGTGCATAGTAGCATGTCACTTATTACAACGCACAAAGTTATGTGCAGTTGGAATGAGTTGGAAAAAGGCTTTAAGTGATCACAGAACTTGATGCTATCATTCTAAAAAGATAAATGACCTATTAATTTGAGCTGTATAAGAATTTGTAGGCTTCTTATCCTGGTTACATCAGAAAATCCAATTCATTAGTTGGAGAGTTCAGATAAGATGACATACAACTGATTACGTCTTGAACAACTGAGTACTCTTCACTTACATTTCCTACATTTCTAGTTCTTTTCTTTCAAATGTGAATGTGAGAACAGATACTCAATCATTCACTCTTCTACATTGTACTTCTCTGGATGGCAATTTATACTGAATCTTGAAATGATGGGGAATATATGTAATTCAAGTAGATGGCCTTCGTTGTATTGTGTTCTCTGAGCTGGGTTGTTTAGTCGTGAAGCTTTCATCGTCTTGCTAGACAGTGACATCATCACAAGCACTAACTTCAGTATGAAGTCAGCTGTCAATATCTCTCCATTACTGAGTGATTTAGTGACTTGCTCTGACGATGTGGCATGTGATTGGTTGTTTCCTTCGATTGTTGTGTCACCGACGGACTGTATAGACTTTCCTGTTAGCTGCCCGTTCCTCTGCTTCACCTCTCACCTTTGTCTCCTTTATCATCTTTCTCACTGGTTGACAGATTGCGTCTACGTCGATACATCTGTTGATTGCTGACTGACTGATCTGAATGCCAAGCTTCTAGGAATTCTCTGATGATATTCTTTGTGTTTCCCCTCTCCATCCAAAATTTCTACATTGTCGAAATTGAATTCATGTCCATAGTAGTGATCCAGGTGCATTGAGATGAGTGATGAAATGTCGTGGCGTTTAACAGCCAATTGATGTTCATGTGAATGATGTAGGTGAAGAGGGCGACCACTTTGTTCAATGTAGTGCTGACTACAGTTATTCCAGTTGATTTTGTAAATGATATTCGGTTTGTCTTCATTGGTTGTTTCATCCTTTGGTCTGCATAATAGTGTTTGGATTCAACAAGCAAAGAAGACAAACCGAATATCATTTACAAAATCAACTGCAATTACTGTAGTCAACACTACATTGAACAAAGTGGTCACCCTCTTCACCTGATCATTCACATGACATCAATTGGCTGTTAAACGCCACGACATTTCGTTACTCATCTCAATGCACCTGGATCACTACTATGGACATGAATTCAATTTCGACAATGTAGAAATTTTGGATGGAGAGGGGAAACACAAAGAATATCATCAGAGAATTCCTAGAAGCTTGGCATTCAGATCAGTCAGTCAGCAATCAACAGATGTATCGACATAGACGCAATCTGTCAACCAGTGAGAAGATGATAAAGGAGACAAAGGTGAGAGGTGAAGCAGAGGAACGGACAGCCAACAGGAAAGTCTATACAGTCCGTCGGTGACACAACAATCGAAGGAAACAACCAATCACAGACCACATCATCAGAGCAAGTCACTAAATCACTCAGTAATGGAGAGATATTGACAGCTGACTTCATACTGAGGTTAGTGCTTGTGATGATGTCGCTGTCTAGCAAGATGATGAAAGCCTCATGACTAAACGACCCAGCTCAGAGAACACAATATACTGAATCTATTCAACTGCGAAAGTGATACGTTTGTTTTCACAAACGTTAAAAACTTATCTTCTGTGTATATCATATTCATTTTACCAGAACAAATGTTCAACTGATATGAATTGTGTCGAAGTAATCTTGTCGTTCAGATGATCATATTTTATCAGTCTATGGTAGCTATCTGATATTATCTTTCATGATATAAGCTTGATATTGTCCAGTGAAAATCATATCAGTATACACAGTTATTCTAATGGATAAATATATTCAAGTTATGTAAATATTATGGGAAATTTATGTATTCATATTCACAAAAATCACCAATCAAAACTCACTTTCAACTCTACCATACAACTTCCAATTAGTATATGAGACTTTGCATTCCAGACATCAATTTGCATATTTGTACGAATTAGATAGTTGAAAAATATTTCCAATTCACCAGGTTTGAAATAATTTTGATCAATATGAAAAATAATCTACGAAATTGTTTTAATAAAATAAAATGTTTTAATTAATTACTAATTTTCATGGATTGATTGATTTTAAGGTAGTTTCTAGCATGAACTAAAATCTGTTGTAAAATCATTGAAAAACTAGATAGCTTTTTCTGGTCATAGTTACAGACTCCTTAGCAGTTTACACCCACTACCTTTTAAGTGGTCGAGGATAGAATAGTTAAGTAGTGGAGAATATTTGTAGCTCACGTGGATGCTCTTGGTTGAATTGTGTCCTCTGAGCTGGGTTGTTTAATCGTGAAGCTTTCATCGTCTTGCTCGACAGAGACATCATCACAGCACTAACTTCAGTATGAAGTCAGCTGTCAATATCTCTCCATTACTGAGTCATTTAGTAGCTTGCTCTGAATATGTGGTCTGTGATTGGTTGTTTCCTTCGATTGTTGTGTCACCGATGGACTGTATAGACTTTCTGTTGGCTGTCCATTCCTCTGCTTCACCTCTCACCTTTCTCTCCTTTATCATCTTTCTCACTGGTTGATAGATTGCGTCTACGTCGATACATCTGTTGATTACTGACTGACTGATCTGAATGCCAAGCTTCTAGGAATTCTCTGATGATATTCTTTGTGTTCCCTCTCCCAGTCCAAAATTTCTACATTGTCGAAATTGAATTCATGTCCATAGTTGTAATCCACATGCATTGAAATGAGTAACGAAATGTTGTCATGTTTAATAGCCAGTTGTTGTTCATGTAGACAAAGGTGAAGAGGGCGACCACTTTGTCCAATGATAAGCACAAGACCATTTTAGTTACTTAGATGAAATCAAATGAATAAACACTTATACTTCTGTCAGTTGGAGATATAATGTGAACATCATTAAATGTCTCCGTGAGATCTAATGATTCTCAGATGGATTCCTAGTAACGTCGTGGTTGCAGTCTACTGAGGAATCCTAAAATAGGGTTTAAAATGTCCGTCCAATGTTCAAAGGTTTCCACTGGTTCTCTTAGTGATATCAGTCTGAGACGAAAACTATCCTGACAAGCATATTTCTTAAATGTATATCATTGAAATGCCCGTTTATCTGTAAACAGTAGAAGAGTCATTATTAAATCGAGAAGGTCAGGCAACTGTTTATTTCTCCTATGGAATGTATTACAAGACCAAAATGATAAATATTTTTGGAATGGAGCGCAGGACTTATGTAGATAGCATCCCCAAACATTAAGGATACCAGGTTGTGAGTCATGTTGATTGGCAAGCTAACAGATAATGGGTGATGATTGGAGATGAAATGCAAATCTGCGCCGCAACAGGATTCGAACGGGTGACCTTCAAGTTACTGGTGATACTCTGTTAACTGGGCTACAAGATCCGTCGGCAGCAGTAGGATTTTGGGAAAACGCACGCAGCTCAGTTGGTATAGCTAGATCCAATCCTGCCGCGACGTAGATTTTTATTTCACTTTTAATCATCACCGAGTATTCCAGTAGTTGCTAGGGTAACCTTAAAGTCAACCATTTGTCTCCCCTCTCATCCAAATTCCGCTTTAAAACATTCGTATAATCTATTTATATATTGGTAAGCTTATTAATAATTCTGCATATTTATTCACTCAATTTATCTGTTATCAATTAGGTCATATAGATGTTATCTTCAATGAAAGCGGACAATTTTCTGTCAAACTCATTCAACTATGCAAACACTCACGTAGATTGATGTTGATATTCCTTTAGGTTGTAAACAGCAGCTGATGAGAAACCGTGAAATAAAATGAATCCATATTATTCTGATAAAGCTGTTCTTCCCACTCTATTTAAATTGTTATTAACTTATGAAACGTTATGTTGAAGAGTTCTAAGAGTGCGCGAGAGTACATACTACAATTTATTGACATTTGAATGATTGAAACAAGTTCAAAACAAGCGATTTGATATATGTCCAATAGAAAAGTTTCGGTAGCTCAAAATTTATGCAGACCGCTAGTATATTTTAGCTTTAGAATTATTATTATTATTAGTCCCTTGGGTTCCTAGTGGAACATAGGGCTTCAGTAGCACGTCTCCATTCCACTCTGTTCTCTGAGATCTTTTCAACCTGGTTCCACGACAGCCCAGAAGCTCTCATTTCCTCCTCGCACGACCTCCTCCATGTCACCCTCGACTCCGACGCCCAACTCGTCGCTTCCCATCTGGCTTCCACTCAAGTAACTGGCCTGACGCGTGATGTCCTCAGTCAGCCTTCTCAGTGTGTGCCCAATCCATCTCCACTTCCTGCTACTGCATATTTGTTGCTTGATAGGTTCTTGGTTGGTTCGTTCCCAGAGTTCCTTGTTGCTTATTCTTTCTGGCAATCCATCTGATCTTCAGTAGCGAGCGTAGGTAGTTGTTGATGAATGTCTGTAATTTATTGGAAATGCCTTTCGTGACGCGCCAAGTCTCTGAACCATACAAGAGCACTGACTTGACGTTGGTGTTGAAAATCCGTATCTTGTTCCGCATGCTGAGTGCAGAAGATCTCCACACTGGTTTCAGGCTAATGAACGCCTGTCTTGCTTTTCCGATTCTGACTTTGACGTCCTCGTCCGTCCCGCCTGCAGTTGAAACAGTGCTTCCTAGATAAGTGAAGGAGGTTACTTCCTTCAAGTTTCTCCCGTTGACGGTGATTGGAGTTTGCTGTTGTTGGTGGTATCTTCATCACCTCTGTCTTCTCTATATTCACCTGAAGTCCCGTCTTCGCTGCCTTTTCGGTCAACTTGTTAGTTTTTGCCTGCAGATCTTCAAGTTTATGTGACATTAGGCACAAGTCATCGGCGAAATCCAAGTCTTCTAGGTTCTTTTCCGCAGTCCAGTGTATCCCCCTCTTCTCACTGCCTACTGTTTTTGCTGCATGATCCAGTCCACCACAATAAGAAATATCATGGGGGATAGTAGGCAACCTTGTTTCACTCCTGTCTTCACTTCAAAAGCATCACTGAGCTTCCCATTGTGAATTACTTGGCATGTGGCATCTTCATATAGTTGTTGAGTGAGGCGAATAAAGGTTTGCGGTACTCCGTAGTATTGAAGCAGTTTCCAAATTACTTCTCGGTTGACGCTGTCAAAGGCCTTCTCAAAGTCGATGATTAACTTTAGAATACCCTAGCTCTTTTATTAGGAGTTCACTTTAATATAGCATTCCATTGTTAAAACAAACACTAATGATTTGGCAAGAATCCATTGTAGAATAAAAACTTTACCTTATACCCTGGTACTTTATTTTCCACTTTTGTAGAGGGTAAACTTGACTTGATTTCTGATAAGGACAGTTTTTCAACCTGAGGTTTTAACTTCCAGATTATCCTACATGTCATGCCAACTGAATCCACAGTATCCTCCAGAGATTTTCCAATAAATAAACTAAAAGTGAAGAGAATTATAAAAGTATAAGAAGATTTTCAATATTTCTTTTACTAACAGACAAAAACTGTTGAACTGAAGTTATTGCTGGGATGTTTTTTCAAAGTGAAATAACTTGGTTGTAAGCAATTCGATGGTTTTTAATTTATCAGATTCACTATGATGGATAATCAGACAATTCAAGTGAATTGTTGAACTTTTAGTTATGCTACGATGTATATATCTCTCAATATTATCTTTATTTTCACTGGAAAACCTTTTCGCTTTCCCCAGACTAGTTTTGTGGATATCACCGTACAACGTAGAACAGATGCAACACTTCAAAGTTCATTTATCGAAAGAGCAATTGAAACGGTACTTACCAGAATTTCAATAGCTTTTATTCCATTAACTACAAACGACAATTATCTAACACCTTATTTCATCAGGTGACAGTGATATGTTCCAGGTATAAAAAATGGAGAAAAATTTGCAAATAGTCGAAAGACGCTCACTGGATAATGGATATCCACAAGCATTCAACAACACATATAGAAGAACAGAAGAGGAAACTTCAAAGAAAGTTGCAGTCAACAAAAGGCCTCACTTTCAAAGATGATGATATTTTACCAACTATTAGCGGGCGATTGAACACTTCACTGACTAAAATTTTCTCTTGAAAACAAACAGTGTGCTTTCTACTTCAATCGTAAGTTGACATGTACCTTTCTTATGTTACCTACATCATGTGTAGCTACTGAAGCAGATACATTGGAAGAACAGAAATAAGGGCATATCTTTAATTTTCTCAACACATTTTGAAAAGCCTATGACTGAGGAAAAGTTACCCTTTGAACAGCGCAATCACTCGGCATCCCATTGACATTGAACCTTAAGCAAACGTCTTCCATTCCTTCAAGATAATAAACAAACAAAAAAGCTCAATTTTCTTCAAGTTTACTAAGACAGTAGCCATTAAACGCTTCACACCTGATTTATACATTCAAAAAAGATGCCTCAGTCAACCTCTGTGTACCTTGTTAACACTTCTTGACTATTATCTGATTATACTATCCTTTATCAACCTTCCAAACCTTGCTTACATTAAGGTCGATCTAGAAACATTCTCTACTGAAATAGTGGAGAATATTAGTGGCTCAGGTGGATGATCTTCGGTGTATTGTGTTCTCTGAGCTGGGTTGTTTAATCGTGAGGCTTTCATCGTCTTGCTAGACAGCGACATCATCAGCTGCACTAACTTCAATATGAAGTGAACTGTCAATATCTCTCCATTACTGAGTGATTTAGTGGCTTGCTCTGAATATGAGGTCTGTGATTGGTTGTTTCCTTCGATTGTTGTGTCACCGATGGACTGTATAGACTTTTCTGTTGGCTGCCCATTCCTCTGCTTCACCTCTCACCTTTCTCTCCTTTATCATCTTCCTCACTGGTTGATAGATTGCGTCTATGTCGATACATCTGTTGATTGCTGACTGACTGATCTGAATGCCAAGCTTCTAGGAATTCTCTGATGATATTCTTTGTGTTTCCCCTCTCCATCCAAAATCTCTACAATGTCGAAATTGAATTCATGTCCATAGTTGTGATCCACATGCACTGAGATGAGTGACGAAATGTCGTAGCGTTTAACAGCCAACTGATGTTCATGTGAATGATGCAGGTGAAGAGGGTGACCACTTTGTTCAATGTAGTGTTGACTACAGTTGTTCCAGTTGACTTTGTAAATGATATTCGGTTTGTCTTCTTTGGTTGCTGCATTCTTCGGTCTGTATAATAGTGTAGGGTATGGAGGGAATTTGTTGGTTTATAAGCCATACCGATTCTAAGTGGTCTCAGCAATCTTATCGTTACATCTGATATATTCTTTGTGTATGGTAGAACGATGCGTTTGTTGATTTCTATCGATGACTTTGTAGTTGATGATGTGTGAGATAGGCATCTTCTGATAAAATTTTGTGGATAGCCGTTCTTCCTTAAGATGGATATCAAATAATTTTCTTCGTTTCTCCATGAGGTTGTTGTGTTGCTGTGTGTTCTCGCTCTTTTAACTAGAGTCTGGACGCAACTGAGAGAACAAAATACAACCAAGAGTATTCTCTATTGATTACGCTATGTCAACTAATCTGATAATGAAATATATGACCACTAGCATTTCACAACAATACACATTTCGTCAATCACTTGCAAAGATATCAAGCATTCTGTCTTTCTTCAGTGAATCTAGACGTCAGTAGTGTTTACTCATGTGACGGATATAAGTTAGGTACATCATTCATTTCTTCCCATTTATAAACTTCAACTACGCGAAATCGATAAGTTTAGCATAAAGATTTGAGCACATTTCCTGATTATTATCACCTGCTTACCACCTAAATAATATCAGAACGTAAACACCAAAGGAAATGAAGATAATTTTGTCAAGTCAACAGGAGGTTATTGACAGGATCAGTCGGCAAATTAGATAATGAATAGTGTAAATTGTCTAAGAAGAGGAGATTGTTAGTAATATTAGAGAAAGACTGCCTATTTATATTAGGACGAGAAGGTTCAGAGGTGGATGGAAAGTGTAGTTTTCAAAATGGTTCGAATTTACACAAGCTTAAAGGGTAAGGTGATCAGCATTCAGACAAAAATTAGGGTTCCCATGGGACAAATGAGTGCAAACTCGAATGTCGTAATACAATCTGCATACACTTTATTGTAAACTAATCATCAGGGCAATGAGAAGTTGAAAACTGTGCTTTCTTCAATGCATAGGTATCCAATAAATTGGGCTTGAAATATTTACTACAGTAAGAATTTTTTTATAAAGCTAATATAGATTCTGTTTGCACAGATTAAGGTTACTAGTAAATAAGTGATCAAGCAACAGTTTTTCTTTAAATGTAAGACAGAAATCGGATATCCAAGTTATAGATTTCATGTTAATTTGCCCTTCCATTTCACTTGTCTGTTAGATTTTCACTGATGAAAGTGACATTTTAAGGTGGCACATCTAGAATACGCCCTCCATAAGTGTGATACTGTGAAATTAGGGGATACATACTAAATGGAAGTCTGTCCGACTCACTGAATCAGTAACAGTCCAGGTGAGCTACTTAAAAATGTTGAGAGTAGGCAACAAAATACTGAAAAACTGGAATTCTTTAACTCCTGAAAACTTTGTCCAACTATTCGTAAGCCAACTGGCAAGGTAGCAACCATATCTTCAATGATCAATGGATACCAGTCAACATTGAACATTGAAGCATATTGTTAACTGTAATCTCGCTACAGAACCATGTATAACCTGAGGAGTTTTCAAACTGATGCGTAAATGAATTCAAAAAATGCTTCTTAAGCACACTGGAGAAAGATTATTCTGTCTATTTTTACATCGTGGGAGGAAAGCAATAAAAGTATGCGAAGGTAATATTTAATGAATTTATAAAATTTCAGTGGAACTCCTCTCCTGAATTCTGTACATATATGGTGATTATGTATCCATGGCATAATACCGGAGGTATTTCATATATCTGTTTAAAACTGGGACAAAAAAAAGATTAAGCAAGGCAAACAGTTTTGAGCAGTGTTAAGCATACGTGGGAAGAGAATATAAAGGGTGTAAAAAGAGACTAAAAACTGCATAAATTAAAGTTCAGCTACTTAATTGTTTATAAGTAGTTGAAAACTGAAATGGATACAAGTAATAGGTATGTTCATTGAATAGAAAAACTTAGGGATAGGAAAAGAACAAATATAACTAACTAATGACAATGATCCTGGATGCAAAACACTGAAACAAACTGATTGATGAAGTCACAGTGCATGAAGAAGTTTACCAAGGTGAGTTTAGAGTAACTTCTATTTTCCTTTGCAACACAAAAGATTGTTTCCGGCACCCAAATTGCACAAGCTCCTGAGACTCCAAGTAGGTCCATATTTTGCTGACTACAGAGATCTTAATTTCAGAGCGACCCAATCATCCAGGTAAACGCTCAAGCATACTAGTAGCCAGCTGATTCTCAGTACGAGCTATGTATTTGCTTCCACAGGTATATTTGAATTGATAAACGCAATTACAAATGTCAAACACAGGTGCGTTTTCTTCCCCAGACTGTTGTATAACCAATTCATGGTAATAAGTGATGCTAGGTTTGCATCAACTTCACTTCTTCTTATCGTTGCACAGAAATATTAGAATGATCCGTCATGTACATTATCTCCTTCAACTAGAATATTGATATATATATATATATATATATATATATATATATATATATATATATATATATATATATATATATATATATACTAACTTTCTCATTATTATCATCAACATTTTCTCCTCGGGTTCCTAGTGGAATATAGGGATTCACTAGCACATCTCCATTCCACTCTACTCTCACCAGTCTTCTCAACCTAACTCCACCACTGCCCACAACCTTTCATCTCTTCCTCACACCATCTACTCAATGTCACCATCGCCTCTGACACACAACTCCTCATCGTTTCACCTTTCAATTCCACTCCACTGCTGGCTGGCCTGGCGCGTGATGTCACCAGTCGACCTTCTCAGTCTATGCTCAATACAATCCATCTCCACATTCTTCTGCATATTTCTTCGGTGATAGGTTCTTGCTTCGTTCGTTGCCAGCAGGCCACATCTCCTTCTTGTTTATTCTCTCTATTCTGGCATCTAATCTTCATTGTCAGTATCGAGTGAACGTAGGTTCCAGCTCTTCATGTGATGTGTGCTCGTAGTTTGTTGGAAATGCTTTCCGTCACGCACCACCAAGTCTCTCAACCATCACATAGAACCACTGATTTACTTGACTCGATTCATGTTCAAATCCGAATGTTGTTCACGCTTTATGCTGAGTGCAGTGCAGCAGATCTACACACTGATTACTTCAGATTAATGTAGGCTTGTCTTACTGTCTTTCCCATATTGGTTTTCACATCCTCATCTGTGCTACCACCACCACCTATAGTTGAAACGATGCTGCCTAGGTAGATTGGTAGGTGAAAGAGACTACCTCGTCTAGGTTCCTCCCGTTGATGGTGATTGGTACTTCGTTGGTGATGCTGTTGTTGGTTGGGTATCCTCATCACCTCCACCTTCTCTACATTCACTTGAAGTCCCGCTTTCCTTCGCTGCCTTGTTTCAACTGTTAACTTATTTTTTGCCTGTGAATATTCGAGTTTGTGCGACAACTCGTTAGACATAAATCATAATCGTTGGAGAAATCCAAATATTTTTCTGAGTCTTTTCATCGGTCCAGTCAGTGTATACCCATCTTCTTTCTCCTCACAGTTGTCTGTTGCATAATTCAGTCCAGTTCAGTCCACCATAATGAGAAAGATCATGGGTGATGGTAGGCAGTTTTGTCTTACTCCTTCATGTCTTCACTTCAAAAGCGTCACTGAGCTTCCTGTTGTGGATCACACGGCATGTAGCCTTTTCATATAGCTATTGAATGAGGTTGATAAATATTTGTGGTGCTCTGTAGTGTTGAAGCAGCTGCCTGACAAATTACTCCTCGGTCGATGCTGTCGAAGGCCTTTTCAAAGTCAACTTTCTTGGAGTTGTAAAAATGATCTCTTAGATCCATTCACTGTCATATACGTAATATGAATGATGCATTTTTGCACAAGAAGTTTAACATATCTAGAGTGAGAGTGAGATATCCTGTAGTGATTTATCATGTTACTTCCTGAATGAAAATTTAGCAGTACTAAAGACATCTTTCCTACTTTTGAGATAGGGAATAAAATCGTAGAAGTGAAGAATTTTAACCCCTTATAAGTCTGCTAAAGATAAATTACCTTGAAGATTCTGCTATGACATACACTGAGTTAGTTTAAGTGATTCTGAAACAACTATATTTTGAGTGTTAATGGATTTTCAGCCTGATATAATCTCAAGCATAACTGTCTTATTGTTATGTGACTGTAATTATCAATCTACTTAACTGATAAATCTAGTCTTCATTTAACTTCATTTGATTTCGTCATCTTATCGGTCACTAATTGATTGGATACAGGATGATTTTATGCCCACTTTATTCGCTATCTTTTCCTGCCTTTCCGGCCCAGTGCTCTACCAACTCAAGAATTCTAGAAGATCACAATATTATCATCTGGAAATAGTAATGATAATTAGTAGATAGCAGTAGAATTCATGATGTGCGTTTCGTCCCATTCGGCACTCATCAGCCGGATGTATCTGCCTATTCTTGAGTGGTGTTATTCCCACTAAAACTCTAACCAATTGGAAAGTTCCAAATTACGTGAAACATGCATCCTGGATTCCAATGTCAGTCACTATCTATCAACACTGGGAATAGTGACAGTACCGAGATATTTACACAGAAGCCTATATGCTAATTATGGTCGATCGATTCCCTTCAATCTACAACGTGGAATTATAAACAAAAACACTAAAATATTATCTGGAATAGTGAAACGATAAAAGACTTTCAAATACTTACGTTGGTGTTTTTATCTGAGGGAAACGATAAAATTGAAAGGTAAAGTAGATTTGCTCAGGTAGATCAGGAATATCAACAGATTGCACGGTTGGTTCAAACCTATATAAAAATAATACGACTAAATTTAAAGATTCTGAAGGAAAGATATACAATATTTTTAAGAATTGGTGTAACTTATTCTTCTATGTTAGGTTATAATTTCAATTCTGCCGACAGCGTAAGGTGGGAAGCAACAGTTGGAGAGATTGATATTATAACTTTTAATTTACCACTGTTGATTGGTTTTACATCGAATAAATCGGCTTCTGTTTGCCCATGAACTCTCAAAATGATATTTCGACATAACTGATGGTTTCATGTTGACATTAAAGGTAAATACTGGCTAGAAGTGGAATCTACAGTATGCATTTCATTCCATTTAAGACTGATCAGTAGGGTCTACTTGCATCCAAGTGAGTGGTAGTGTTCCCATCGGTGCTGGGCTCCAGTTTTAGTAGGAAAATCGACACTCATAGGGATGCAAATAAGTTTGCACCGTTTTGTCAGGTCAATTATCCATGGTCTGTTGTGTCTGATCAAAGGATCTGATCAACCATAGGGACATGTGTAAAAATTTATTCACAACTATGAAACCAATGCTTGTCCATTTGCGTAAAGCCCTACAACTTCATAGAATCTACCAAAATAATGTAATCCCAGTGAAATCATTCAATACAGACAAACAAAATCAACTTAGAACCTCGCACACAGTGGCGACACTTCACAGTAGCACACAATGAACAAGTGGATAGAAAAACAGTAGGATGAAAGAAAATGAAGTTGCGTGACATAATACGAAACTTGAAGATGAAGGTTAGCGCAAATACCAAAAATTTGGAAGACGTTAAAGAGTTAATACATCTGCCCCACTGTTAACAATTTTAAGCCATCTCACCAAGAGACCTCAATTACTGATTCCTAACATCTCCAGGACCCCAGCGAGGTAGTCTACATCTCCCCGAAACGGCTAGGACCAACAATCAGGGACTTGACTAACTTGCTCCAAGTCTTGATCTGAACATCTTGAACCCTCTTTCAACCTAGTTCAAATTCCTCAGTTACATGATTTCAAGGATGGCGGTGGCTCAGCATGTGCAGTACATCTCCAAGTCGTTTTAGTCCACTGAATTTCACAACCTTATCAATCAACTTGCCTTTCTTGCTTAGCACTCCTCACCTGACCTATAAACTGCCTACACGGTGTTCCCCCAAACGCGATTAATGACATGAAACATATAAGATCAAAAACTTGTAGTTCATTCATGACTTCATCTCAATTACTTCCTACTTTTGAACTGATATGCTGTCGTGTAATAGCTAGTGCTGTTCTATATAGTCATCCAGTGAAGAGTTCAATAACCCTTATCAGCTAACCAAGGGATAACATCAAAAAGAAAGGCCGAAATGGAAAGTATCCTTCTTGAAGGTATAAAATTATTCCTGATGATTTCTTTATACGAAACCAATACAGAGGTTAATTTAAATTATGGAAATATACTAATGATGGATACTAGCAAGCAGTGAGAACCAGGACTTGAACTATAGTCTATCACCAATTTCGTTGAAGACAGGTTCCTTGCACTAGACAGTGAGTGGTGTGAACCCACATCCACTCCTCTTCTTCATCTCATCCTCTGTCCAGTAGGCTGTCTGCGTCTCCACTTTCTCCACATTGAGATGAAGTCGATCTCATCATTGGTGTGTCCATTGGCGAAATCAATTCCATGTCGCCTTGTGAATATCCTTGTGTTTGTACACTGCCTACAATCACCGAATCATTAAATGTGCAGTAGTCTTCAAACAATACTCCATTCTCGTCCATTTTGCCCAGTGCTTCTCGACCCGTGGTTAGTGGTTAGTTCTCTACCTGTGTTGTCCGCTCCCAGTTTGTCATTCATGTCACCCCACCCATCAGAGTGGATTTTGATGTCACCATCTGGGGTGGGGTCTTGTCCATTAGTGATTGCAGTTGTCTGTAGAATTCCTCCTTCTTATCTTGATCTACATTGTTTGTAGGTGCATAGCGTAGCATTGTATGATTGTGACTTTCCTTCCTTTCGACTTGAATCCATCTCGCTGTCATGAGCTTACAGGAAGAGATTGGTTCCCACTGCATGAGAGAGCCTTCGATGCTATTGAGGGTATCATGATAGCCACTCGAGGACTCAGTGTCCTCTTAGTTGTCATCTGGGTGACAATATCGGAGTAGATTATTGACTTTCCAGTTGACAGTTTGGAGAGTCCACTCCCATTCCATCTACTTTCGCAGATTCCTAGCACTTCTATGCTATATCTTCTCATCTCCTTTGCAATCTGGGAAGCCTTGCTAGGTTGAAACATGGTGTGGACATTCTATATCTCTATGCTCACTTCCGTTATCATCGAGAGTAGAGAAGAGACATAGGCCATTGGCTTCCCGAAGGCTGGCTGTCACCAACCGGCATGATTTCGTCTCTCCGATTCTGGCGAGGAGTAAGTTTGTTTTTATTTTCTATATTTTCTGTGTGCTTTGAAGTTTCTTCAGTGGTTGGATTTGTTTTACGGGTTAGGGTTGCTAGCTCTATGTCCAAGCCTCCCTCTTTGTCCGGGCGTAGGAGCGGCTGGTAACTAGTGAACTAGTTACCTAGGCGAGGCTGTCGGATTATAAAAAGCAAGTCTATTGCTACTTTGGCCAGTAATGAGTGTCTGTTAATTTCGTCCAGTAAGTAATACCGTTCATGTAATGCTATTTTGCGAAGCAAATTTAATACGGATCATTGATTGGTCACTTCAGTGTAACTGACTTCATGTTGTCCAGTCATATAAGCTGATTGCAATAAGGTCACCAGATTGAGGAACTCATCATAGCGATAGACTTTGATAGATTTTAGTTGGAACGAGAAAATCAGAATGAATTCTTGAAAAAACGTTTCGTGTTTTATGGCATTCCTCAACAAGACGTATCTGCAGCCTCGAGGGAACTGATGCCTCCCCCCCCCGGGATTCGAACCCGCGTCACGGATTCATTCACTACCACAGTTTCTAAGTTCTCCCCTCATATACAGATAAATTTAAAATGTTAAAGGTTACTATTAAATCAGTCACCAGATAGAAAGGAATACCAGATTCCAGTTGTTAGATGTAATAGGTTTCATCGCCTATGGTTTGCAGTACGGCGATTAAGCTACTAAATTCATATAGATAAGTTCATCAGCTTCGGTCTGTAAACCAATAGTTGATAAAGTCATCTAGTTTGATGAGGGCAAAGTCTATGACCAGATCTTAAATCAGAGAAAACATCAGGCAAACATCATCCCTGCTATGGACTATCCGTCTTCTTATTTTGCATTCATTATGTATGAAGTGGTCCGAGAAATAATTAGAACTTCCTAATTCAATGACGAATTGGAATATACTACTCACAAAATATTATAATGATTTTGTTAACCTGATTATAACCATGAAATGTTTGTCCAAACGGTTGTTACAAGTGTATAATAAAGAAGGAATACTACCTGTAACATTAAGTAATCTATACTTTATTTACCCAGAATAAGCCAAGAACTGAAAATAATTTCATTTTGAGTCAATACATCCATTTCTTCTTTCTTGAATACAAAATCACCAATTGTATCAGTATGAGGATCAATTGTGAAGGGTGGATCACCATTTTCTGTTTGAATTGACTCAAAACCTATTCGCGGGAGTATTAAAAAAATCAAAGATAAATTTTCATTTTCATTTTATAACACTGTTAACGTAGTAGCAATAATATACTAAAATGATTACCATTCCATTTCTACTTGATCTCTATTTATCCATAACACTGGTTGTTTCAGTTGATTTTACATCATGCATTATTTCGGCTATTATATTTCCATGGATTTATGACTATAAAGGTCGAAGAAGTTGTTGTTGAAAATAATCTTTCGCGCAAATTATTCTTCTGAATAATCAATGGGTCTATTTAAATTATTAGAAACTATTCAGATGGAATTCAATAGCCCTTTTGATGGATGGTGCGTTTATAGTCCTCCAAGATTAGGATGATGCGAATACTTTTGTAGATAAATTTAATAGCTCTGAACCAATCATCAACCTCACGATGAAAGAAGAATGTAATCATTGTATTTCTTTTGTCAAAAGGCTCAGATTGAACAAGGAAAAGGAGTATGTACAGTAAGGAGTAATCAGTTGGTTAGTACACTCAATTCTGTAGCTCAGCGCTCTTCACATACAGACTAAAATCAATGTAATTATCAGGACATCGAAGTAAAGCCACCTGCCCCAGTGACCTCAGCGAAGAGGGCACTGACATAATGCTTAGCCTATTTAGTAAGATATCCTGTCAAATTTGTGATTAAACACATGAAACAGATAAAATAAAATCCAAGAGTGATAATATATTATAATTATTTTTCACTTAGGTTCCTAGTGGAACATAGAGATTCACTAGCACATCTCCATTCACTCTACTCTAACCAGTCTTTCAATCTCGCTCCACCACTGTCCACAACCTTTCATCTCTTCCTCACACCATCTACTCAATGTCACCATCGCCTCTGAAGCCCAACTCGTCATCGTTTCACCTTTCGATTCCACTCCACTGCTGGCTGGCCTGGAGCGTGATTTCACCAGTCGACCTTCTCAGTCTATGCTCAATACAATCCATCTCCACATTCTTCTGCATATTTCTTCGGTGATAGGTTCTTGCTTCGTTCGTCGCCAGCAGGCCACATCTCCTTCTTGTTTATTCTCTCTATTCTGGCCATCTGATCTTCATTGTCAGTATCGAGTGAACGTAGGTTCCAGCTCCTCATGTGATGTGTGTTTCTGGTTTGTTGGAAATGCTTTCCGTCACGCACCACCAAGTCTCTCAACCATCACATAGAACCACTGACTTAATTGACGTGATTTATGCTGAAAATCCGGATGTTGTTCATGCTTTGTGCTGAGTGCAGTGCTGTAGATCTCCACACTGATTACTTCAGAATAATGAAGGCTTGTCTTACTGTCTTTCCGATATTGGTTTTCACATCCTCATCTGTGCTACCACCACCATCTATAGTTGAAACGATGCTGCCTAGGTAGACTGGTAGGTGAAAGAGACTACCTCGTCTAGGTTCCTCCCGTTGATGGTGATTGGTACTTCGTTGGTGATGCTGTTGTTGTTTGGGTATTTTCATCACCTCCACCTTCTCTACATTCACTTGAAGTTCCGTCTTCCTTCACTGCCTTGTTTCATCTCTTAACTTGTTATTTTTTGCCTGTAGATCTTCGAGTTGTGCGACAACTCGTTAGACATAAATCATCATCGTTGGCGAAATCCAAATAATTTTCTGGGATCTTTCATCGGTCCAGTCACGGTATGCCATATTCTCGCTCCCCACTGTCTGTTGCACGATACAGTCGACCACAATCAAAAAGATCATGGGTGACAGCAGAAAGCCTTATTTCATTGCTGTCTTCACTTTGACGGCGATACTCAGCTTTCCATAGTGGATCACTTGGCATGTGCGGTAGTCATTTGGCTGTTGAATGAGGTTAATAAACATTTATGGCACATCACCTGGCTGACTATTTCACTAGTTACTACGCAGTCATAAGCCCGGATAAAGAGGGAGGCTTGGACATAGAGCTAGCAACCCTACCCAGTAAAACAAATCCAATCACTGAAGAAACTTCAAAGCACACAGAAAATATAGAAAATATAGATAAACTTATTCCTCGCCAGAATCGGAGGGATGAAATATCGCAGGTTCGTGAAAGCCGGCCTTCGGGAAGCCAATTGGCCGATGTCTCTTCTCTACTCTCGATGAAAGCGAAAGTAAACGTGGGGACATGGAATGTCCACACCATGAATGAACCTAGCAAGGCTTCCCAGATTGCAAAGGAGATGAAGAGGTAAAGCATAAAAGTGCTGGGAATCTGTGAAAGTAGATGGAATGGAAGTGGACTCTCCAAACTGTCAACTGGAAAGTCAATAATCTACTCCGATATTGTCACCCAGATGACAACTAAGAGGACACTGAGTCCTCGAGTGGCTATCATGATGCCCTCAATAGCATCGAAGGCTCTCTCATGCAGTGGGAACCAATCTCTTCCTGTAAGCTCATGACAGCGAGATGGATTCAAGTCGAAAGGAAGGAAAGTCACAATCATACAATGCTACGCTATGCACCTACAAACAATGTAGATCAAGATAAGAAGGAGGAATTCTACAGACAACTGCAATCACTAATGGACAAGACCCCACCCCAGATGGTGACATCAAAATCCACTCTGATGGGTGGGGTGACATGAATGACAAACTGGGAGCGGACAACACAGGTAGAGAACTAACCACTAACCACGGGTCGAGAAGCACTGGGCAAAATGAACGAGAATGGAGTATTGTTTGAAGACTACTGCACATTTAATGATTCGGTGATTGTAGGTAGTGTACAAACACAAGGATATTCACAAGGCGACATGGAATTGATTTCGCCAGATGGACACACCAATGATGAGATCGACTTCATCTCAATGTGGAGAAAGTGGAGACGCAGACAGCCTACTGGACAGAGGATGAGATGAAGAAGAGGAGTGGATGTGGGTTCACACCAATCACTGTCTAGTGCAAGGAACCTGTCTTCAACGAAATTGGTGATAGACTACATTTGAAGTTAAACACTCAGAACGGAAACTGAAGGACGAAACTGTACAGGACATCTTCACGTCAGTCAGTCAGTCAGTCATCAGGACAAACTGGGAGACATTGAGCAACATCCCTGAAGGAATCTTTGTGGTTGAACACTGGATCTCTTCGGAAGAGATGTCGAAACAAACCTGCGTAATCGTATTAGAAAGGAAGAAGAGGCAAGACAAGGAAGGGATCTCGACGGACACGTGGAAGCTGATAGAGGAGGGAGAAGAGGATGGTGGAGCAGAAGATGAACAAGTGTAGGTAGGGATGAACAACGAATAGAGGAACTGCACACAACGTATAAAACACTACATTGGACAAAGAAATGACGAAGTGTGCATGGAGAGAGAAAAGACACTTGTGCAACACACTGGCAAGTGAAGCAGAACAGGCTGTAGGAAGGAGAGACCTGACAACACTGTATCAAATAACGAGGCTACTATCAGGGAAGAGATCCACTCAGATGAAGCAATGAAAGATGTTGAAGGAAACCTAGTTACCAAAATGGAGAAGTAAAGGAAACGATGGGTTGACCACTTCAAAAAACTCTTGAGTCGATCACTGCCAACACCACCACCACCACCACCTGCGATCGTTTAGAAATACCACCAGCATTCCATACACAGAATTACCAGTGAACGCAAGTCCTGCGACAAGAGCAGAAGTGGAGTTCACAACGCCATAAAGTTGCTGAAATCCGGGAAAGCAGCAGGACCAGATGAAATTCCGCCAGAAGCATTGAGAAGGGACGCTGAGGCAACAGTGGACATACTCACACCACATCACTGTTGTAGAAGTTTTGGAAGGAAGGAAGGAAGGAAGGAAAGATACTTACCTATTGGAAGAAGGACTACCTTGTCAAGCTTCCAAAGAAGGGAGACTAATGTGTTTGCAAGAACTGGCGCGGAACCATGCTTCTGTCCACCCAGAGCGAAATATCAAGCCACATCATACTTGGGAGACTGAAGATGGGCTGAATTCAAAATCACTACCGGATCAAGGTGATTGTCTTCAGGAAGAACAAACCATGTGTGGATCAAACTGCAACGCGACGCTTTGTATCATCATAGAACAGAGCATAGAATGGCAGTCAACTCTCTGACTCAATTTCATCGATTTTGGGAAGGTTTTCGACAGCGTCAACCGAGAAGTAATTTGTCAGGCAGCTGCTTCAACACTACAGAGCGCCACAAATATTTATCAACCTCATTCAACAGCTATATGAAGACGCCACATACCAAGTAATTCACAATGAGAAGCTCAGTGATGCCTTTGAAGTTAAGACAGGATGGAGTGAAATAAGGCTGTCTACTGTCACCCATGATATTCCTGATTGTGGTCGACTGGATCATGCAACGAACAGTGGGGAGCGAGAAGCGGGGGATAGACTGGTTCGGGGAAACGCAACTAGAAGATTTGGATTTCGCCGATGACTTTTGACTAACGTAGCATAAACTCCAGGATCTAAAGGCAAGAAGTAACAGTTTGACAGACGAGGCAACGAAGACAGTGCCTAATGTGAATATAGAGAAGACAGAGGTGATGAAGAAACCCAACTAAGAACAACAATGAACTCCAACCACCATCAACTGGAGAAAATTAAGGGAAGTAGTAACTTTCACCTACCAGATAGGCGGCACGGTTTCAACTACAGGTGGCACTGACGAGGATCTCAAAACCACGATCGAAAAGACAGCAGCACAGGCTTTCATTAATCTGAACTAATCGGTGTGGAGATCTACTGCACTGCACTCAGCATAAAGCATGAACAACATCCGGATTTTCAACATGAATCCAGTCAAGAAAGTCAGTGGTTCTATGTGATGGTTGAGAGACTTGACGGCGCGTCACAAAAGCACTTCCATCAAACTATAGACATTCATCAACACCTGCTACCTACTCTCACTCGATACTGAAGATTCATCAGATGGGCAGAATAATCAGAATAAACAACTAGGAACTGTGGCCTGCTGGCAACGAACCAACCAAGAATCTATCACCCAACAAATATGCAGAAGAATGTTGAGATGGATTGGATTGAGCATACACTGAGAAGGTCGACTGGTGACATCACGCTCCAGGCCAGCCAGCAGTTGAGTGGAATCGGAAGGTGAAACGATGACGAGTTGGGTGTCAGAGGCGATGGTGACATTGAGTAGATGGTGTGAGAAAGAAATGAAAGGTTGTAGGCAGTGGTGGAGCGAGATTGAAAAGACTGGTTAGAACAGAGTGCAACCGTGACGTGCTACTGAATAGTAAATAAATGAAAATTATCACACTCTACTTATATAATATAATATTGTTTTTCACATATAACATTATATCTAACCTGCTGAATAAAGTTTAGCATAAGCTGCACGACTCAATCCAATGCAAGAATGTGTATTGCTTAAAAGAATTAACGGACCGTTTGCTTTCTTATCCATAAACGGTCCTATTAGTGGTAAAGATGCTTCTAATGGCTCATATAATGTTGGTCCTATTCCACCTAGATAAGGACCAATCATTGTCCCACGATTTAAGAAACTAACATATGGATTTAAAAGACCCATTTGTTGTTGTTGTTGTTGTAATAACTGGGTGTATAAATTAAACTGTGCTTGAATTGGTATAGGTAATATATTTGCATTGAATTGTTCTATTTCATCAGATTGTTTAATATCATTGAAGACTAAATTACCTTTCATTGGGTGTTTGGATTTGAATTTTTGTTTATTTAATTGAATTTGTTTCTTTCTAGGTGAGATAACATCAATTTGTGACTGTAAAGAACCATTCGACTGGCTAAAGTGATTAGAATAGTTTATAAAAATGAATTATAAATCCTGTTAAGCATATAAATAGTAAAATAATATATGACACATTCTAGTATACTGAATAAATTGAGTTTTTTAAGCAAATCAGGAATATCTCAACTAGACCAAAACGTTTTTAATCCAAGTAACTAGACTATATTTTCATGAAAATTCAATAAAACCCTGCAAAAAAATACTAAACAGTTGATAGGATAGTGACTAGCAGTACGTTTCATTTCATCATTGCAACTTGACAGCTGGATAGTCATACCTTCTAGTGAGTGAGTGATATTGCTCTTGATCACACTCGAACCTAGAACTTAACGATTCAAATGCTGTAAGGTTATCCACTACACTGGTGAAATATGACAGCTACTATATATGCGATTGAGTGATTTAGTGGCTTGCTCTGACGATGTGCTATGTGATTGGTTGTTTCCTTCGATTGTTGTGTCACCGACGGACTGTATAGACTTTCCTGTTGGCTGCCCGTTCCTCTGCTTCATCTCTCACCTTTGTCTCCTTTATCATCTTCCTCACTGGTTGATAGATTGCGTCTACGTCGATACATCTATTGATTGCTGACTGACTGATGTGAATGCCAAGCTTCTAGGAATTCTCTGATGATATTCTTTGCGTTTCCCCTCTCCATCCAAAATTTCTACATTGTCGAAATTGAATTCATGTCCATAGTTTAGATCCACGTGCATTGAAATGAGTGACGAAATGTCGTGGCATTTAACAGCCAATTGATGTTCATGTAAATGATGCAGGTGAAGAGAGTGACCACTTCGTCCAATGTAGTGCTGACTACAGTTATTCCAGTTGATTTTGTAAATGAAATTGGGTTTGTCTTCTTTGGCTATTGCATCCTTTGATCTGTATAATAGGGTAGGGTATGGAGGGAATTTGTTGCTTTATGAGCCACACCAATTCCAAGTGGTCTCAGTAATCTTGTTGTGATTTCTGATATACTCTTTATGTATGGTAGGACGATGTGTTTATTGATTTCTGTGGATGACTTTGTAGTTGATGATGCACGAGATTATGCAAACAACAGAATATCACAAGCTTTAACATCAATTAGTCGGATATCTGGAGATAATCGTTCTCATATGAAGACATCATAAGATTTTTGATAGAATTTAATCAAATTGTATTTCCTGCCAGAGCGTACGGGTATTTACGTGATTTTTCTTCACATAAGAAATTTTGAAAATTATCCTATTTATTGCAGTTGTATATACAATAAAACACGTATCACACTTTTACGTCTCCTTGTGGTGAGTTATTATTTGCTTGTAGAGAAAACAGAGGTAATAAAGATACCCAACCAACAATAGCATCAACAACAACAGGCACCAATCAAAATCAACAGCAGAAACCTAGACGAGGTAGTCTCTTTCACCTACCAATCTACCTAGGCAGCATCGTTTCAACTACAGTGGTGGTAGCGTCACAGACGAGGATGTCAAAGCAGCCAGCATCGGAAAGACAACAAGACAGGCTTTCATTAATCTGAACTAATCAGTGTGGAGATCTACTGCACTACACTCAGCATAAAGCGTGAACAAAATCCGGATTTCCATCACCAATCTACTCAAGTAAGTCAGTGGTTCTATGTGATGGTTGAGAGACTTGACGGCGCGTCACAAAAGCACTTCCATCAAACTATAGACATTCATCAACAGCTGCCACCTACGCTCACTCGATACTGAAGATTCATCAGATGGGCAGAATAATCAGAATAAGAAGAAGGAACTGTGGCCTGCTTGCAACGAACCAACTAAGAACCCATCGCCTGACAAATATGCAGAAGAATGTGGAGATGGATTGGATTGATCATACACTGAGAAGGCCGACTGGGGACATCACGCGCCAGGCCAGCCAGAACTCGAGTGGAATTGAAAGGGGAAACGATGACGAGTTGGGTGTCAGAGGCGATGGTGACATTGAGTAGATGGTGTGAGGAAGAAATGAAAGGTTGTGGGCAGTGGTGGAGCGAGATTGAAAAGACTGGTTAGAACAGAGTGGAATGGAGATTTGCTTTTGAATCCCTATGTTCCACTAGGAACCCAATTGAAAAATAATAATATAAATAATAATTTCACCAACATGGAATTCTTCATTATTCAATAAAATATATCTTTAAATATTAAATCCAGCTACTTTGCATTGAGGTAGTTCGATATGAATGTTTGTTACAAAAGGTTCATAGGTTTTTTGGAGAAATGCTATTGATAGGAATTTTTAGACAGAAATCTTGCATATTAGGCGTGTTTATTTGATTTATAATACGCAGTGTGGTGCAGTATTATTTACTTGATGACAAAGTTTCGAGCATAAGTTATCACTGATCCTAATCATACCAATATAGTCATACAGCATTTTCAACATCTGATCTATATATTCCTGTCACCTCTTATTCTTTATTTCTGTTCACACATATAAACTGAGTAGTGGACTCAATCCAATTAACTTACTAGGCGAAAAGTGAACAAGGAGAATTACCTATGTTGGATTGCAGAATAAAATAAGAGGCAGATGGTGGTTTAGACAATACCGTCTACAGGAAACCGACACATTCTAACAGGTATCTAGACTTCACGTTATCTCATCCAATGTCGGTTAAAACCGGTTTATTCAAATGTCATAATGATAGAGCTAGAAAAGTTAGTAGTCAGTGAAAGAACCTAAACAAGGGATTGCAGAACATAAAACAGGCATAGATAATTAGTTATTAACTTCCACCGTCTATTAAGAAATTCCTACGAATACATAAGAAACGAAATAATAACAGTACTACGAGCACAAATAATAACGACAACATCAGAAACTCTACCTAGAATTTCAACACGGTTGGGATTAGTGTGGTATTTCAACCCACAAAATCTCTCAGAGATAAGCTTGGTCGAGTTAAGGATCCGATACACTCAACTAAGCAAAATAATCTGGTCTATCTGATTCCATGTTATTACTGTGAGGTCAGGTACATAGGTCGAACTAGCCAATCGCGGTCAGTTAAATTATCGTACATAGTAAAACTACGGACATATAGAATAAGGCATGTTTCAACGAAAAAAATATCTCTTTGCAACGACTTCATTATCCAGTTGCACAGTCGTATTTATACTCAGTAAAGTGACAGATAATTGCACTGAAAAGGGAGTTGCTCAGTCAATATACAAAATATACAATCGGTGTAGGTGGTGGTATTTCTTCAAGTGGAAGAGATAGAAAATGGGTCACTGTGAATAAGGAGGAACGAATTGATGACAAGTGGTGAGATAAGAGACAAGTGCTGTCAAAGGATTGTAGAACGGTGATAACTAAGCTGAAACATGTAAAATAGGTGAATGAATAAGGAATGAATTGATGTTAAATAGTGAAATATGGATCAAATGTTGTCAATGAAGTGAAAATTGGTGATAATGATGATGCCAATAGAAGAGAAGTATACCAAATTGAATTCAACTGAAATTTACAAAATCAATAAAATGGGAATTGTAAGGCCAAGATAGAGAAAGTGGTTTCACAAGACGTTTTTTCAATGCAAAGTTTCGGTTTTTGTTCACATATAGCTAATGCTTCAGCTATGCACAAGTGGTGGAAACGTAAACCTTTCAGTAGTTCAATTTAACTTTGTAAATTAAATTAAAGGATGAATCTCGAGGTGCTGAGTGACCCAATTCAACAAGGTGTTCACATATGGATGAAGTCGTTTTCCTTTGCTCGCCTCTGGTAAGCCAAACTGGGTAGTGTTCAGCCTATCCTTCACGCATTGACGAATCAGACAGTGGCTGTAGAATATCCATCTCAGTCCAGCAGCATAGAAGCTACTATTGATACATCTTGACAGACGATTTTTCAGTACTTCGACTGTGGTATTTCCTCTGAATTCCAGATTCATGGTTAAAATTTTCTGAGGGACTGTATTGGGATGGGAGTGGTTCGTTTCTTCAGATTCTTATAAACGAATCTTTTAGGGTATCCGTTATTAGATAGCATTATTCAAAGAGTTTCGATTTTTAGCATCCACCGTATCTTCTGAACATATTCCATAGATTCTGGAACACAGTGAGTGAATGAGATTTCTCTTACAACCAAGAGGTAACCAACTATTAAAGTTAGTGAACTGACAGGTACAAGCTTGTTTTCGATAGACTGACCGTTGAATCGACCCGTCATCCCTTCTCTTTAACGTTACGTCTAGAAAGTGGAACGTTGAGTCCAATTCTTCCTCTACTGTGAATTTAATGGACGGGTGACAATCAGCGAAACGTCTTAACAGCTCGTCCACATGTAGAATAACAGACCCCAAAAGGATAAGTGAGCAGGAAAAAATCTCAGGTACTGTAATGCATGTATTAACACACAACCATACAGTAGCGGGATTAAACTACTGCACTTGAGTTCAATCTAATTAGGTGGATATTGAGATAGATTAATCACTGAATCTTTGTTCATCGAATCAACACTCAGCACATGTAATAGAAATGACGCAACACCTGTAGCAGAGATATGGAAAATTTTACTACCAATAAAACAAAACATATAAGGTGACAGGACTATAAAAATTAGATATCGAAAGACATTTGATTACATCGAGATATGATTATGAGCAGCGATAATTTATGCTCGAAACTTCGTCATCAAGTAAATAATACTATATCACTGTGTATTGTAAATCAAATAAACAGACCTAATATGGAATTATATTTTACCATAGTGTCCAGGTTTTACACTTATAGCAGTCTTGTATTTTAGGCAACGTGCAAACTGCGTGAAGTAGTTATCAGGTGCAAAACATTTAAATATGAGAATATACTTTGTTGTACTAATATGAATATATATATATATATATATATATATATATATATATATATATATATTTGGGATATAACTTTTGGGTGCAATGAATTTGTTTTGTGCAACTAAGCAGAAACAGTTAAATAAATGTAATGAAATTGTATTCATCTTGATGACACG